TAAAATGAACTACGACAGAACAACACTGATATGTATTGTCATGAATGGCGTCGTGCTTAAGCAAGGCTAAGTTATCACTGATATTAACAAGTTTTTGTTTGATAATTTGATAATGGTTACGCGATACTATTTTTGCTGAAAATTAGATAGTTTTAGTATAAATCTGATCATTTTTTAACCACTAAAACAAGCAAAACATAAGAACAAATATTTAACGTTGGCCATATAAGATGTCTTTTTTTTTCTTTTTTTTTTTTTTTTTTAACAATCTAACGATAATTACCGAATGATGATTCTGCAATTAGCAAACAATTTTTAAAAATTTTCCCTTCTTTTATTATTGCTTGACTTAGCAAAACAGTCAAACCTTCTGCCATTCTGAATATCTTCTCGATCTTTCTCAATATATTTATAATACTTATACAGTCATAATTGTGATATAACATTATCAACGATAATATAATATAAAATTTAGAAATCATTTGCCTTTTAATTTTTAACTCATAACGTTTTTAAAAGATGATAGTATAACTTAAAACAAATTTCAAATAAAATTAATCAATATTTTAGTGAAAATGAAAGTAATCGTTCCTGTAGTTATGTCCTTATGGTATTTTTTGTCAAGTATTATCCACATACACGCTGATATTCTTGAAAGTATAAACGTTGTACCGAAAGGATATAATAATTTACGAAAAAGACAAGATTATTTCGGATATTTGAAGCAATGCAGTATTTTACAATTTTGGGATAAACAGATTGGACAAGTAAATGTTCTTGCTTTCTTCGATTCATCGAAGCAGTTTAGTCATGGACAAGCATCTATGTAAGTACAAAATATTTATAGAATTGGATTTTATAAACTTACCAACACATTCATTAAAAGCTCGTTACTCGTTAAGTAAATTATATAGATACTTTGCTTAAAATTACTTTTTTTTTGTTATTACTATGAAAATTAACACGAATGAAAATTGTATAAAAATTAGTTTCTAAAAAAATTAATAATTAATATGACATAGTTGTTAACCATCCATTTTTAGATATTTAATGGAATAACAATAATAATAATAATAATAATAATAATAATAATAATAATAATAATATGAACAATGGTATCAATTAATTATATAATCATTATTATAAATAGTTTGTTAAAATTATATACTTGCCAGTAATGTAATAAAAATCATAAGTAAGTAAATTATTACTACACATTCGTAATTTCGTGCATGCTGAATACTAATTTGAACAAAAACAATTTCTTGGCCTTACAATAGACTCATTTATAAAATATTCATTAAGGTTAAAAATATTGAAGCAACGTTTCAAAAAAACGGGTTTGGACAACATTCAATTTTTCGCGATAAACGCTGTACAGGAAGCATCAACTCAAAACATCGATAGAGCAGAAATTCAATTAGAAGATGAGCCGTGGAAACAGATTTTACCAAGCGAATCCGATGGGCTTCCTCCTATCACTGGATCACCCGAAGCACTGATCGAAGAACTCGGCCCTGACGTATATTTTATTCAAGACACAGTCGAGCTACAAATTTGGTTAAAACTCAAAGCTTTTCCAGATCAAATTCTCGTTATCGATCGGTGAATATATGTACAATTAATTATTTACATTACCTCTGCCTATTACCATATCACATGTTAGAACAATGCATAAATGTTTATTAACTCAAAAATCTTGAATCTGTAATATTCTCAAATATTTATACCATTAAGATTTATGAATATTTTTGATCGATATTTAGTGGTACGATAACGATATCTGTATATAAACCATAGAGATTTTAGATTCTAAATTAAGATCATTAATATATATTTTTCATAATATTATATTATCATATGGTTAAAAAAAAAATGATATAATTTTATTGTATATTACTTATTAATTAAATTATACAATATGCATGCGCAAATGTGATAATTTTATGCCTATGACTGTACAAAGTGACGCATTAAACGTGACTGGTTTTTTTTTTATCTTAATGAGTTTCATTTTTATTTATATAAAAGCTATTTTAAATAATTATATTTATATTACATTGTTTTAAAATATTTAATTAAAAATAATTTTATTAACAGCAATATTGTGGGTGAACTTGAAAGTATACATAAAGTTTACATACTATACATTTCGATTTATGAAAATATTAATGACGTAATTATAGCAATAAATTGATCATAATAATAAATAGTATTATTAATTATTCGATATTAATGATAATTACATAATTCGTTAGTAATAATTAAATAATAGATAATTCATTATTATTATTATTATTATTATTATTATTAACGATAGTTATATAAAATATAATATTATGTAATTATTATATTAATAATCATCAATACTATTTTTAATGGCTCTGTGCTTTTATTGATAAAATATAGACTTATAATTGCATCAAATTTATTATTTTATGGACTGGACTTAAGAAAAATTAAAGACGATATTTACGATTGGTTAGGTCACGGCCTCAGATTTCTGAAATTTAATCATCAGAGAGTATCATATCTCATTATTAGATTAATTTCACGTAATATTGAAGATATAATTAGTGGTCTAATTGTCAGAAAGAATGCTTATGCAAGTGTAGCTGCAATTGAAAAATTAGTCTAATTGTTCTAAAAATACTCTTTTGCATACTCTATTCTTTAAACATATATTTTAAGACATCGCTTGTAAATGTCATAAAAAAATTCTTGTAACAAATTTGCGCCACACTTATGCATTTTTATATACAAAAGTATATATTTCATCGATGAAAGTCACAATTAACAGATGATTTTGTGAGAGATAACTTTATAACCACCTTATTAAATCGTTATGATTGATATTTCTTCAAGATATATTACATTTAACCTGTTTTATCAAATGAAAAATGTAATTAATCAATAAATTATATTTATAACACGTTTATTACATTTTGCAGATGTGGAAGATTGACCTATGAAGTTATCGTACCTTGGAGCATATTACATTTCCCGTATGTCAAGGCAGCTATTCTTTCTACCTATAATGACGAACCCTGCGGATACTGCCAGGTTGTATGCTTATGAAATTCTAAATGGTTGCTCATATTTAATAATAAAGACAAAATTAATAATTTAAAGAAGCGATATATTTCAAATTTCAATTGATTTATACAAATACATAACAGGACTATGAGTAAATATGCAATCAACGTGTAAGGATTTAATGAAAAGTTTACAAATTTTAAAAGTTAATCATTTATAAATTAGTTGTTCATTCGATGTCTATTTTATAATTTGAATTAATTTTTTTTTGCTTGTATATATAAATATTTATAGCAATTATAGTTTATGTATGATTGATTGTGAAATTTATTAGTTCGGAATAAAATTGATTTTATATTGATAGAACAAGACAATTAAAATTTTAGTTTATTAAAGATAAATATTAGAATGAACAAAGAATATTTTTCTCAAATGTACTTATTTTTTCTTGCTTCTATTAATAGATTAATGAAATCGTATACTGTTTAAACTCAGCTCTGTTCCACCAAAAATAATAAATGGAAATAATTATACTGTTTAATATAATAGAACAACAAATAATATCCTACTTTTATTCAATATATTCTTAAATTATTAAATCGAATTATTATTTTATGTTGCGGAAAATTATATATATATATTTATATATGATGCGTTGGTATACGAGTTTCTTTTCTATTTTTTTTTTTTGTTAAAAAATTAAAATATTACATACAATGAAAATTACATTAATAATATTTAAATTTTATACCAAAAAATACTGACTCATCGTATGTGCTTCTAATTTTTATAATTATCATAAGAATATATGAACTTTAAATTATAATTAACTGTAAATTTAAATCTATTCTGGATCTAATCTAATCTAAATTTAAATATCAATTATATAATATAATATCGGAAAATCAAACATAAGGATATAATAGAACATATTATTCAAGCTCGTTTAAACTATCTTTATAAGATGTCGATAATCTATGATATTTTCAATACAGTCTAGCTCGTTACATTTTCGTTTTTTAAATGAAATGTATTAAAATTTCCGATAATATTTGTAATTTAAAAATTATCGAAATATTAGTAATCTTATTTATACAAATATTTATACTACTTTATACTGTTCGGGTAATTGTTTGTTTAAATAACATAATGTTAAACATTAATGTAACATTTTCATGCATATAAATGTATGTACATTTAAAATTGAAAATATGATTTATTGATCCAATATAATTGAAATGGTTAGATTTTAATTATTAACATGTAGTATTCTTTTACTTTTTATATTAAAAATTGAATGTATATTGAATTGTATTTTAATAAGTTCGTGCTAAATTTAAATTTTAAATTTACAATAAAATGCTACAAAGTTATAATGAAATATTAAAAATCAGTTATCATTTAAATATTATTTTATTGAACATGATTTATGGATATGTAAAATAGTTTGTCACTTTAAATATTTTTTAATTAAATACAAAAATATTTTGAAAAAAAATTTTGTGTTTAATCAATATGATAATAATTGCAAATGTCCGTTAATGACGAAAAAATCACAAAAAGATAATTATTTCAAACGAAAGCTTTAGTAGAAGTATTATTTTACACTTCATTATTTTTGAATTTATATCTTATAAAATATTTTTGCGCGCGCGCGCGTGTGCGTGCGTGCGTGCGTGCGTGTGCGTGCGTGCGTGCGTGTGCGCGTGTGTGTGCGTGAATGGATGAACGCATGCATGCATTGTGCATGGATGCATACATCGATATATGTTTGAATACAATATATATGGCACACGTGAAACCATGTGCACGCATCCTGATACACAAATCGTTCATAGTATCCATTATCATAATATTTAATATGCGATCTTATGCTGACTTGAATAGAAAACCAATACATAGTTATATATGATAATAAATTTAAAAAAAAAATTATTACAGTATTGATAAATATTTCTCGTATATGCTTTACAAACAATTATTAGCCAATCATTCTATCTTTATAACTTTAAAAATATATAAATATGAAAATCAATTAACTTATCAATAATTACTATTGTAAAAATATTAATACATCGATTCATTTATTATAATGTATTGTATAATATACTGTAATAGTTTCAGAGTTCCGTGTTAGACGCAACGCTGAAAAATAATGAAGTAACATCAACGACCGATAAATCATTAATATATAATGATTTCACTAAAAATTTCGATACTTCAGAAATGGCAGAAAAATCATTAACATCAAGTACTGAGAATAAAAATATGTTTTCCACATTACAAGAAACATCAACGTTAATTATTCAAGATGAGAACAATAGTACTCCATTGTCAATTACCATTCAAGATAAATACGATGATCCGATCTCATTATTAGATAAATCATCGGCATCATTTTTTCAAAATGAAAATAATTATACACCAGTTAACACGGATGAATTATCATTAGGAATTACCCAGACAGAAGATATTTCAACTTATGAAACTAGTCCTGATTACAATTTTGGAACCTCAAACTCCAACGATGATTTATTAAATCCCATCAGCAATGAATACACTGATCAAGATTCGAATTTTGAATCAACAACAGAAAATTTAAACACTGTCACAATAACGGTAACAAACATGATTAAAAAATTATTACTGCAACTTGAATAGTTTATAATTTTATATTAATAAATATTATTGAAGCTCTACTTCAAAATTATTATAGAGCTTTATTGATCGATTGATAAATGAATTTTATATCTTACAAATTTTATATTAAAAGTATTCATAATAAAAATATTAGTTTATACTTTACAGTATATTAATAATGTATATTAATTATATTCATTCTTAATTTTATAAAAATTAGTCTCATTATTTCTATGTCATCGAAAGAAAATAATTATTTTAAATTATAAAACGAAAATAAATTGTAAATTTACTTAAAACATTAAAATTAAATATAACGCAACCATATATACTTTAAATTTACATTTATGAAATAATAATAGTAATGTACTAATGCAACAAAAGTTTAGGTAACTTAAAAAATTAAATTATAATTTGTAATTTTGCTATAGGAATCAGAAATTCCAACAACAATGCAAATAGAAAAAATGAATCTAAACAACATAACTGAAAATGAAAATCAGAGTATTAATTATATTTTACAAACTCGATCATCAAATGGCCGTTCTGTATTATCTAATGGATTGCAAAATCATCTAGAAACTATGGAAAGGAATAGGTAATGTAAAACAAATTATAATAAGTGATATAATGACTAACTAAATATTAATATAATAATGCGAAGATAATGAACTTTTTTTTCTTAAAAGTTTCTACACTAAATTCAGATTCACAAATTCTTAATTTATGATTTTCACATAAAAAAAAATTAATATATACATATATTTATTTATTTATTTATTAATATAAATAATAAATATTATTTAATAACCAAACCCAAATAAATATTCATCAATTTTCAAGAAAAGAATACGTGTAAATTCATAAGCTTTTAAATACAAAGTTAAGAAAAAGTAGTAGATATATATATATATATATATATATATATATATAAATAGATTTTTTTTTTAATAACATTTTAAGTTCCATAAGATTACATACTATTGTTGTACAATTTTATTTACGAAAAAATCTTGTTTTAAAAAACTTCTTAATTCGTAAATGTTTAAAAAATTTCTATTGCATTATAAACAAAGTTCAAATCAAGTTTTGCTGTTTTGAATCTTTAAATTTTGTATAATGAATATATTGGTTATTGTAATACAACCATTATATTATAATGTAATTTTATACGTTTATCAAAGCATTATATGTTCAAACAAAGCAACAATAAGAATATCAATATTTTAATAATATGATGTTAAAATATTTTATAAATTTTTCTTTTGTTGTTAACGTCTAACTATTAATGGGTAACGCCACTCTAATTACTTAAAAATTAAATAAACTATTAAGTTTTTTAGCAACATAATTAGAAACAGGGAAAGTTATTTTATGTCTCTGAAATTTATATACTTAAATGAATGTCAAATTTTGTTCGATAATTTGTTTTCAAAATATTGTTATTACGGTTCAAATATTTCACATGGTTGACACTATTATATTGGACATGTTTCTTAATCAATTTTACAAGTAAAACAAAAAAATGAACAATTTTTCAGCTTTAAATATGCACTGTTATAGAAATATATTCGAAAATAAAAAAAATATTTACTTAAATAATATACTTTTAAAAAAATAAATAAAACTTTCATTATATTGGTTATGCATTGATTTAATTTATTAAAAAGCTTTCTTATACTTTGTCAAGAAATTTTAATTCTCAATATAAATTAAAATTTTAATATGATTCGTTAAGAAGAACTTGGGTAGGATTTTTAATAATTTTAAAGAAATTTAATTGCATAAATATACATAAAATTCTTTATCATATAGTATATACATTGCACTGTTTAGTCTCAGATTGCAGATATGAGGTAAGAAATATTTTACTCGTCATAATCGTTGCTCTAATATTTCTATACACTCTCGGGCACCTTTAAAGCTGAAAAGTCGAATTTTTAAACAGATTCTGGAGTGGTATTACTCATTAAAAAATAACTAGATTTACGAATAGGTTTTAATGGGCAAACGTACGTTTAAATCATAGTAAATTGAATGGTGAAGATAATTTACTCGATGCAGACTCGATGCCTATACGCATAATAATGCGCGCTCCTCATGTTGATGAATTAAATGATCAAACGATGAAATCGCATGAATATCTTGTATTAAAAACTGGTTTGTCAAACTACCATGGTCACCTAGAGCCACAAGAAGAAAATGAATCGAATTTAGCAAATGATAAGAGCCAATTTAATATCTTGTCACATGAGAAATCTGAAATAGTTAAAAGAACCTTTGGTAAAGATGAAAGTCCCGGATTATATGGCGAGGTGGCTGATTACTGGCAAAACTTTAGCAACGAACAGATTCATGAAAATCTACAGTTTACTATGGCCAATATTGATCAGGTATGAAACTATAATATAATTTGGTTGAGATTGCATAAATTCAAAACAATTATTGTTAAAAAATGTGCCTAAAGATAGAGGAAGCTCTATCAATCGTTATGTTCACTTTTTATTTTATTTAATAATTAATATAATGTTTTCTCTAATATTTTCAACCTTTAAACAACAAAGAGTCAGTGAAATATAAGAATCTCATCAATACATAGGATAATATAAAAATTATTAATTCAATATAGTAAACAATATTTGAAAAAAAAATTTTTAATTATTTTCGATGATAATTATACGCGCGCTTGTCACTATGATGCAAGTAAAGTAAAGTAACATAGATACAAAATATAATTTCTTATTTAGTTAAGCATATATAATACTTTTAATAAAATTTTATACTTCTAAAAACATACTATTTGACCAATTATTTTAAGTTTTCAATTAAAAATGAATGAATTTTTAAATAAATTATGTTTGTCAGAGTGTGGAAAATCAAGATACGACTTTTATGGAATATGATGCATTGATACCAACTGAATTATCTATAAATAATGAAAGAAAAGAGAATGTGGAAAATATATATAAGAGTTCGAACGTCACACCTACGAAAGAAGCAGAACTTATTGGTGAAAAAATTGATGACGAAACAATGTACTTTAATAAAGAAGATGACATAGTCGATGAAGAAGCTAAAAGTAAATTGATAGCACATTACAGTAAATTATTGCCATGGTTATATTATGACTTATCTAAATAACAATAATTTAATTTATTTGATATTATAATAAAAATAATATATATTTATAATAACTTTTAAGATAAATTTACATTAGATTAATTTTTATAAAATGAAAATTCTATTACATTAAGATTTACAAATTTTATAAAATAAAATTAATTATATAATTGTATAATTAATTCAAAAAAAAATTATTTTATCCTTTATATAAAAATTATTTTCCCTTAAATCGATGTATTAATAATCACCAATTATATTTTATATGCCTTTTTAAAAGGTGTTCTATATAATAATATATAATACATTACATAGATTTATTATCCATATTAAGTGTACTATTATTACTAGTACAGTTACTATTACTATTATAATTATTGGAAGAACTGCTTGAGCTGTTACTACTTGTAGTTGAACTGCTTGAGGAAGAGTCTGAGTCCGAATCCGAATCACTATCGGTAGTAAGGGGGGAAATACGGTTATCTGAACTAAAGAGAAAAACAAAAATAAAAGTTGAATTGAATTGAATTCAATGCACTTCAGAATTATGTTCTATATCGAATTTATATTTACATACGTTTTATTATCATTACTGATAATGAGTTTTTCTAAGTCATTAGGTAAAGTATATAATTCATTTTCAATAACTAAATCTTCATTCTGTACCATGTAAATTGCTTCTTCGATTTTCGTGAGATCTAAATCTAATTCTTCTTTTGTTGGAATTATCTATAATAAAGATTTTAGATTTAAAAAATACCATAATAATTTCTATAAAATATTATACACAGAAAATTGAACATACATTTTCTAATAACAAATTCAGTTCTTCTATTCTGTAATTTTGAACATGTTGTAACCAGATTAAGTAATCTTGAATATATAGCTGATTCAATATATATCTCGGTTCATAAGAATTATTAAAAAGTTTATAAATTTCACAAAAACGCTTTAATATATACTTTTTACCTACAAAATTATTAGATGAATATCAAAGCATATAAGTAAAATAATGATAATTCAAAAAATTAGATTTCTATATTTACCTAATTTAATTACTTTTTTAACATCTTGAAAAACTCTTATTGCAAGATCCCAATTTCTAATTAAGGGGTAACATAAAGATCGTCTTATACAGCTCAATATTACATCATTCATATTAGAAAAATTCTAAATAAAAAGATTGTCAAATGTACTATAAGAATAAAAAATATTAAACTAAATAAGTAAATAATTATACCTGAAACCAAGATAAAGTTGAACTAAGTTTGTTTATAGTCCAACAACTTTCTACAGTATTTTCTCCAAGTGTTGTTCGACAATTATAACAACTTGCAAACAATATATCAACCATACTAAAGAGTGCTATCTTCATCTCATTGTCATCTAATAAATATTCTTTGTTTGGCAGTTCTTTAAGTATATCTTTTTCAGTATCGTTAAAACTTATATCTGCTTGAACAAGCTTTTCCCATTCACATTCATATGACAAATAAAGTTCAAGACAATCAGTTTCCACAAAATCAGCCATATAATGCTGTTCGTTAAAACTTTTGATTTCATCGTTTTCACGTAATTTTTTGCGATCTTCTACTAAAGTTTTATCGGGTAACGGTAGATCAATGATTTCTTTAATCCATGCATTCTAAACAAATAATACTATTCAATATTCTAAATAAAATTGATGAATTACATGAAATTTAATTAAAAGCATTATGTAAAATTATGAATAGTGTCACCTAATCGTTTAAATTCTCTATCCGCTTAATAAATTATGACTTGAACAGTAAATTAATCGATATAAAATAATTAAATAAAAATCACATTAAATTTTAAAGTTTTTTTACTTTGCAGTATCAATGAACTTGAGTTTATAAAAACTTAGATTTCTAAACTTGAAGAATTTCCAATATGAAATTTGTAATAATAATTGGTAATTTTATAAGTCATCGAAACTATAATTAATTTTCTCAATTTACTAACTTCAAAAGCAGATAAGGCTCCAGAAATTTTATTAGCAAATCCATATTTGGGAGACTGTAGCGAGTAAATGTCTTCTGATACAGGAATTTGTTTAGTATACCATTCATCCCCATTATCATTTATATTATTAGTATCATCCTTATCTTCATTGCTTTCATTTTCTTTATCAACATACTCATTAGTGGTCACACAAGGATTACCTAATACCGCAAATTATAGAATTTAATAATAAATATAAGAATAGCAGATGTTATAAAAAAACCATTATTAAAATTTTATCAATATGTAAGTAAATACACGTACTAATCACTTCAATGACAGGTACAATATTTTTTTGCTTTTTTGAAGGTGCTAATAAAGTTGTTATCATATCTAAATTTTCAAAATATTCTCCTTTATGAACTTTGGATAATTTTAACTTGAAATCTCCTTTTTCACAATCATAATCACCAGTTGATGCATCAGTTTCCTCAATCTCTCCAGGCAAATTTAATCTAAATGAAAGATTGAAATTTGAATTTATAAATTTCAAAATAAATAATGAATATTTATAATGACATTGTACCTTAAATAATACGGAGTAGAATAAAATCTAAAATCCGTTCCATCAATATGAATTACAGTATCTTTGATATTTGCATATGGTGCATGAATAACAATAGTAAGTTCATCTTCTGTTTGTGACAATTCAAATCGTGGAGTTAACATTTTACACGAATGACATCTAATTAAAACTATTTAAATTGTATATACTATTATTCTAACTTTTAAAATAGCTTAGACGCATGTATACTGTTCAATGTTCATTCATGTTATTTCAATGTAATTCAGATATATCACTAGAATTATTTAATTTATAGCAAATTTTATACAGCGAATACAACGAAAATGAGGTGTATCGAATATTTTTATTTTACCAAATGTTTATATTATTTCAACATATACTTGTATGATCCATTGAATGGATTTTTTCCTAATTCTAATCTCTATCTAGTAAGCGATCATAATTCGGAATATGGAACATGAAAAATGTTTTCGTATACAATATTGGGACGTTTATATTAGGTTATGGTTACAAAACCGTATTCCTCTACTTCAAAATAACCTTTAATCTTATATTTTGAATTAAATCGGAAAGCATATTAAAAATTTTCTTATATTAGAGATTAATAATGTTAGAAAACTGTAATTTTAATATATACTAATTATTATTTAATTAATTAAATATCGTATTATTTTACAAATCTTTATTTCGATCAATAATTTACACTTTATTTTATAATAATAATAACTGTTGCGTGAACTGAATATTAGTCATTTCTGTCATTAAATTTTTTTTTAATTTTGATTGACTGTACGAGTTCAATAACAACTATTTATTGATTAATTATATTAGGTATTCTGAATTTATTTATTTATAAATATATACCAAATTTATATTCTTGTATTTCTTCCTTCCCCTTTTGCTTGTTTGCGTGTGGCGGCGGTGAGGGGGGGGGGCGTATGAAAATATAGATATTTATGTGGACATGTATATCTTACTATTGTAATAGCAAGTTATGATTTGGTTTAAATCGATCTTAATTTATCTTCGTTTACATTAAAGCTATTCAACATATCATAATTTTAAAATTTCATTAGGATTTCAAATATTTATATTAAAATTCATTTATTTTCTTAACGACCCTCTATAACATTTTATTACATAGGCATTCTCTTAATCTTTCGTTGATTAATTATTTATATTCTTTTTTTATTTAATTTAAATGTAATATCAGCGTACTTTGATTCACTAGCATTACTTTATATTGTAAATATTAATAATATTTTATATTATATTATAAAATTAATCGTATTGCGTACATATTGCGATATTCCTATAATTCAGTTTGTATTTGATAATTTTATCTAAAAGAAGGATAAAATTAAGTTCGGCGTAACAATATAGCTTAAGCATGATTAATTAAAAGTCTCTCTTGTTTCATATGAAAAGGATAAAAACAAATATTTAATGTAAGCATTAGTTACTGCGCATTTATTGCGTTTCTATGTGAGATAAAATTCACAACAAAACTTTTCCTATCTTTATTCTGTTTATATCGAGTTATATCTTTAACACTGATAATTAAGATTGATATTAATGAATAAATTTTAATATTTTTATATATTTGTATTTGTCAAATTATCAATTAAATTTTGTCAAAGAATATTATAACTATGGCATCTGTGGATAATAATATATTTCTTGGTTACAATGATTACTCAACTTTGTATTCTGCAACTGATTTGGATCAGGAGGAATTCTTTCAGGATACTACAAAGAGCAATAATGGATTTAAATCTACTGTAAATATAATGTATTATTGAAAAAATTTGTATTTATAATGAAGTGAGAATAAATTTAATGGAATTTAAATATATTACTTATTATATAAATCAATAATAATTTTGTAAATACAATTTAATCGAAAATTAAATAATTAATTATTATTTAATCCATTGCATGACAGGAAAATCAAAAATTTTCTGGATCAGGTATGCGTCTTGGAACTTCTTCAGGCGTAAGTAAATAAGCACATAATAAAATTTTTTTTTGTTCTGCCTTAAATAAAAAAAATTCAGTCGCAATTTTATGATGATAATTATATGATCTTCGGCTATTATATTATAATGTATTGCATGTACAACAAAGTATTATTATTGTTTTTATTTGATATTAAGTGATATTATGAATAATACTTCTCAAGTAAAATATTTTAATGTTCATGTAAAATGTAATTTATTTTATCTTAATCAACATTTATTTCTTCCTCTTTAATTATAAAATGATTCACAATTAAATAAATTTTCATTAATTTGAATTAATGTTATATATTCGCGATTGATTAAAAAAAGTTTATCGGACGAAATTTATTCTCCGACAATTACGCTAGCACATAAAATTATACTTATTGCAGTATCAAAGAGGAAGCACAGCAGGAAGACCTGGAACAGGTACGTTGAGACCTATGACAGCGGTCCGAGGAGCTGGTTACACAAGCGCTTCTCGACAAACATTCGATCCCTTAAATTTGGGTAGCACGATTCAAAATTTTCCTCTAGAAACTGAAAAGGAAGAGACGTGAGTCAAATATATTTATATATATATATATATATATATATATATATATATATATATATATATATACATATACATATTTTCGCGTGTGTATGTGTGTAACTGTAGAGCAAGTCTATTTCTATATTATATAAAATAATAATTTACGAAAAGTATAGAAAAAAATTAGAAATTTTAATAAAGAGAAATGACGATCGTGTGAGAATGCTTATAGCTAAAGATATTCTTAATTTTAGTCATCAATCATAACGTGAGATGATTACTCTTAGTAAACATATATTTAAGACTACAGAAAATTATCCATGGATGACTTAATTTTAGTTAAGTGAAGAAGAAAAAGGTGGCTACATAATAACCGAATGAGGCAATTATAATTTTGTAACAGTCTAATAACTTTGGAATAGAGATAAGAAAAATAAATTTAAAAAGATACTAATTTATTTAAATATCATCAAGTTGAGGATATAATGTTTAATAATTGCTTTATTATGATTTTTACAAAATCGTTTAACAATGACAATTGGATAGTAATATTTTTTCGATGAACAATAGACTCGCAAGAAGACTCAAGGATCGACTGGATAAAACAGGATTATTAAAATATGTGATTCGTACCTATCAGATATAAAAAGTACTATGCGGCGTACACGGCGCAAGTAATCGTCCGTAATATTCATTTCGAATTGTCGTTACTACGAATATTATTTATTTCAATAGAAAATTAAATAAAAGATAACGAGAACCTTCTTTGCCTGTGTATGGGAAAGCATGTGGCGCGGTTGCGTATAGGGTATACACACGCGCGCGCGTAACTATCTAATTATGCATATGATATTTAACATACGATATGTAAAGTTATGTTAAGCTTACTAATAACTTAGAATGAAGTTAATATTAGTTGACAGATGAAGTTGACGCTTCTAAAGAATCAGCTTCGTTCTTAATGCTTTAAACGTTGCACTTGCAACGAGTAAAGAGGTTCAAAAATTGTGTTATTCCGTAATTAAACTTATTTATAATCTAATAAAATTAATATTGTAGGCCAGAAGAAAAAATTAAGCAAGCTGAGCGAAGAATAATGACTTTAATTGAAGAATCAGCAAAAGCGGGTTGCGAAAAGAATGTAAAAGTTGCTTTAGAACGAGCGAGAGAAGCTTCCTCAAGAGAACGCGTTCTTATTAGGCTTCAAGAACAGGCTGGATTGAGCGATAGTCACAACATTGATCTGACATTTGCTGTAATATAATCTTTCAATGTGCGTGAAAAATAAAAATACATACGTTTTCATTTTGCATTTATATTATTTAATAGGTTATTTTTAATCTTGCTTGCCAATATTCCAATAATGAAATGTATACCGAGGCAATAGCAACGTATCAAGCTATTACAAGGAATAGAAATTTTAGCAACAGTGCCAGGCTAAAGGTTAATATAGGTAATATATACGTGAAAATGGGTCAACTATCTCAAGCCATAAAAATGTATAGAATGGCTTTGGATCAAACAACCAATGCACAAAAATATTTAAGGTAAATTACTAAAAAGTTATAATTACTCGTTGAAAATTAAATGATACGTATTTCACACAAGTATTGAAAATATTCGTGAAATCGTAAAATTTATGAACGGTAAATTAGTGTTATTATATTTTTCATTAGTGTAGTGTTATTTTATATTGAAATTATAAAACGCTAACATGCCATGTTGATATTTTACTATATATAAACAAGGATAAAGAATGAGCACAATTATAATACATTCTAATCATTAAAATAATTTAATTATTAATTATATACTATGTAATTTTTTAACAATTGTTAATATTTAATTTTATGTAAGAACATTAACACTTCCAATATATTTAAGGAATATTTATTATTTTCCAAGCATTTAGTTTATATTGTTTCTCTATAAATAATAATACATTATAAAGTATTTTAATTTTAAAATGTAATTAAAAGCCAATGAAATTAATTATAATAATAATAATAATAATAATAATAATAATAATAATAATAATAATAATAATAATAATAATAATAATAATAATAATAATAATAATATGAAACTTCATTTAACGAATACATTTAATATTTATATTGTTTTTTCTCGATTAATTTACGATATAAATGAAAGAAATTTTTTAATATTTATTCCTATTGAGCCTATAGTCACAAAATTTTTATCGTATATACGATTGTAATACTATTTATTAAATATCGTCATTTTCTAGGATAAAAATTATGCACAATATTGGAATGCTTTTTGTTCGAATGGGTCGACTTGAAGAAGCAGCTAATAGCTTTGAATGGGTAATGAGAGAGAAACCAGACCTTAAAGCTGGAATGCATGCAATTCTATGTCACTTCGCTCTTTCCCAGGAAGATAAAATGAAAAAAGGTTTTCTCGAGTTACTGGATGTTCCCCTACATATAGATCATGATGATAAGTACTCTATTAATACGGTAAAATTGAATATAATTTTGTTAAATACTCGGAACAAAGTTACATTTTATACGTACTTATGCGCCTCTAATCTTAGGATGATATTGCATCAAATATTTTGAACGAAACAGTGAAAAATGATGATTTATCGAAATTAGAGCGCGAATTAAAAGTTAATGCTGAAAAGACAATTCTCAATGCAGCTAATTTGATAGCTCCTGTTATTGAAGAAACACTTGCTGGTGGATTTGCATGGTAAATAAATTCTAAATTATTTCATTAAAATCTAATTCACTAGCCGTTGTTGCATTTATAAATAACAAGAATAAGCTTGCATTTATTTTAATAAATAATGTATCTCGATAATAAATATTTTTATAATATACTATTAGGTGCGTAGACGCAATTAAGTCCTCGGGCTATCATTCACTCGCTGCCAATTTGGAAATTAATAAAGCAATGGTATTTCTTTATAATCGCGAAGTACGCATGGCCATAGAATCATTAAAAATTTTTGAAAATCAAGACACAAAAATCAATAGTTCCGCATCTACAGTGCTATCTTTTATACACTTTCTTGTACGTAATAATATGAAATATTTATTGGCGGTATGGTAAATTGGAATTTGTTTAAATTTTTAGCGCGGTGAATATGATTTAGCAGAAAAGTATGGCGAGGCCGCCAGAATTGCTGATAATTATAATACGGCTGCTTACGTAAATCTATCAGCATGTTCTATTGTAAAAAACGATTTACAGTCTGCAAAAGAATATTTATTATGCGCACTAGAAAACGATCCCAATCATGTTCAAGCACTTTATAATTTGGGTAAAATAGTCTTTGTAAACTAAAAGAAATTTGTATTATATTTAAAACGTAGGATATCTTTTCACGAATACGTTATCTATTGTTTTCGATTGTTGCACCTCAGGTTTACTATATAAAAAGAAAAATATGTTTGAACAATCTCTGGAATGTTTTTGGAAACTTAAAAATATCGTTAGATACGATCCTCTAACATTGTATCAAATTGGACATGTTAGTCAACTTAGCAACAATGTGGAACAGTCATCAGAATGGTGAGATATTACTTTATTGAAAAGTATTAATAATATTGTAATAATGTTTATTTACAGGTACAATCAACTTCTTGGTATAATATCCTCTGATCCAGGAATATTACAAAAGTTAGGCGAAATGTATGATAATGTTGGGGATAAACAACAAGCCTACCAATATTACAGTGATGTACATATTTACTTATTTACATATTTAGACATTTGTTTATGCATTTTGTTTTATAACTTAAATTACATTTTTTTACAGTCATATTCATTTTATCCAGCAAATTTTGATGTAATCAATTGGCTTGGCTCCTACTTTATTTCAATGCAGGTTATTGATTATTAATGAAATTATTATAATTTCTAACTATAATTTTTATAATTATTCAATTTTTAGGTTCCTGAAAAAGCGCTTGCTTATTTTAAAGAAGCGGTGGAATTAGCTCCTAATGAACCGAAATGGAGATTGCTTGTGGCATCGTGTTTAAGGAGAGCAGGACAATTTCATAAAGCATTTACTGAATATCAAGATATACATAAGAAATTTCCTGATAATATCGAATGCTTAAAATTTTTAATTAGACTGTGCAATGATTTGGGTCTGAAAGAAGCTCAAACATATGCCATTGAACTACGAAAATTAGAAAAGACAAAGGAAAATAAAGATGGACATGGCTCGGGAAAAGCAGGAACAAGCAGTAAGTTTACTTAAATTGATTATTATTAATATACTCATAAGTTAGTCTGAATTTTGAAAAAATTAATTTTTAATTATTTTAAAAATAAAATCTAAAATTTGTTACAGATTCAAGACAAAGTAATAGCGGCACATCATCTAGAGGTGGATCGGAAATGAGCACATTTTCAGAACACCAAACAAGTCCTGCTTTGCACGAGCATAATTTTCAACATGGTGATAATACTCATTTTAGTCATCACATTTTAACCGACTCATTTGACGTCACTACAGAATCTAGTGTACTCGGTAGAAATTAATAATTCAGTTAATAATTAAAATAAATAAAAAATGTATACTACTGTATATAAACTAAATATTCTCATTTTTTCATTTTTCTAGATACGCATTACGTTGATCCGGTTGGATCACTACCAACTCGACCAATGACAGCAGCAGGAAAAAAAGACTCTGATTTTGGTGACGAACAATTGGGGGTAGATCTATTACCTGAATAAGATTATATACATAATAAACTATACTGTTTTTAAATAATACTTTATTTAAAAGAATCGTTCGTTAATCATTTTATACTACATGCGGATATAAATAGTACATAAGCCTGTATAAAAATATATTTATAATGTAATGAATAAATAAAGCTGTAACTATAAGGTTACCTTTTTGTTTTATCATTTTTCAATGTTATTAACTCGTTCAAAGCATAATTATAATTATCACTTTGACAGCCAATACATAAGTTAAAAAAATCTTTAAGATGAGCTTCATTACTCATTGGACTATGCAGTAATATTACTAAAGCGTATCTCCATATTAATGTTTCTTTTTTATTTGGAAATTGTAATAATAATAAAAATAGCCTTTGTAGGTTAGACCAATCATGTTTCATTAGACACAGTCGCATTTCTTTTAATGCAAAGCTTTGCAAAAAATATAGAGCTGTAGAGTTTATCTTGTTAGAAATGATTGGATTGCAATATTGAGAATATTTATTCGAATTGCCCTCATCTTTATCAATTTTTTTTCTCTTAGTATTCTTTTTTGCAGTTGCAAAAAGTGCTAAAGCTTTTTGCTGAAAAAAAAAATCAACAAATAAATATAAATATAAATATAAATATAAATATATACTATATACTATATAATTTTACAAAAATGAACAAGAAATTACCACGCTATCCTCTCCAATTATATATGTCTTTGATTGTTCGTCGAACATAATTGAAAATTTTACTATAAAAAATATTACTTATTTAAATAAATATACTATTTTAATTTTTACACACGAGTATACATATTGAAATTTATTATTTAAAAAAAGAGAGTATAAATGAAAACATCGGAAAGTATATCATGTAAAACTGTAAACGGTCAAAATTCTTTCTATCTTGATTAATGTCATAAAATTTTTTTAAATCAAATAAATACTATAATCTCGAATACTTCAGTCGGTTATGAAACCCCGCGATTTCAAATCCTTCTTCAATACATTATTAATAAAAGATATTTAAAAATTATTACAAATAAACGTATTTAATGAAATTTTCAATGACTTTCCTTATGAAATAATTGCATTACAATTATATATTTTTTGGTTTTAGAAAATATTATGAACGTATAACAGAGTTTTTTTTCCATTATTCAAATTCATTATTGAAATAAGAAAACAATCTTCGAGTAAATAATGCAATAAAGAAATAATTTAAATATAGTAATTTTACATAGTTATGTGCATATTATAGTTATAAAGAATATTACATTTATTACAATATTACAATATTACAATACTTGATAGAAAGAAAAATCTATTTTTTTTATACATGTAATATTCATTATTTTCATGTTATATATATATATATATATATATAATATATATATTGTACGATGCATTTATGAAATAATAAAAAACACACAAAATTCAAATAATACTTTATTATTTTTGTATACTGCATTTTTAGTTAAATTGTTTATAAAACTAATATATATATATATATATATATATACTGTTTATTGTATTGCTTAAAAAGCAATATCTAATAACGTCGAATTAGAAGTAAATAAAAATATAATACGTAATATTATTAATATTTTTAAATTGAATAAATAATTATTTCATTGCTATTTAGATCATAAATTATCTAATACAATATGTATATTAAATGGATTTGTTAAAAAAAAATTTAGTATTATTAATAAGATTATAAGAAGATACGTCGTATATAGCAAAAACAAATTTTTATCTTTTAAATTTCTTTATACTTTTTTATATTATTTTTCAAGTAATATTTATATTTTTTTCTCTTGCGTTTTATTATTATTTATAAGAAATAATATACTATTAATGTTTGTGCAGTAAAGATTCATCGTTGTGTGGTAAATAAGTAGGTAATATATATTGATGTTTGTATATTAAGTTAATTAAACATTATAATTACAATTTCATTAAAATGAAAATGAGTGAACTCTAAAACACTGGTGGCCCGAAAATTGTATGAATATAAGGTAACGAAATTTAAACTAATCGGCAACTCCATTTCTGTTTTTGGCATAAAAAATAATAATAATTTAACCAACTATTATTCTTAATTTATTTCTTGTTGAAAAATCTATTTATTTATAATTGCAATTATTAATGTCCTGATTTAAGGAAAAATTTATTATTGTACAATAACAAAATCAAAATTTGTTTATACAAGTAATCTATATTTTCAATGTTTGCTCAAACAGTTTAGTAAATTCTATATTCTTAATATATTTTCAGGCATCGAATTAAAATGAACTATATAATATTTTATATAAAATACAGAATATTATTAATAAAAACATTATTGCACAGTATTGTATCTTGAATAAGTATACCAGAATATAATAAAGCAAAATATTTGAAATATGTTTTCAAGCTAATTATATTATATCTACATAAAAATGTAATACACTTATGTATTTTTAAATACAAATATTAATTTCAATTTCAATGCGTTAGTCATGCATAATAATGAAAAGATATTTATCAATTCATAATGATTTTTATTTATTTTGAATTTATTAACATTAAATTTATATCAATTGTACTGACTCGAAGTTTATACACATTTACTTATAAACTGATTTAGAAGTTTGAGCTATTCACTTATAATATGGAAAAACATATATTACAGGACCATTCATTTTAAAAAATTTATCTAATGTTTACTCATCTCTATGACGTACAATTTCATGAATTTCTAAAAATCGAACAATCACTCAGTCAGATAATTTGATTAGAATAATACTTATTTCTAATAAAGATTTCAATCGGAAGATTATAATGAAATACAAAATAAATTTTAATCCATCATAAACTATAAGCAATTTTTTTTTTATATTGATTCATATTAATATTGTAAAATTGTTAGAATTTTAATAGATCTTTTTAAATGATTTTTGCTCATACTAATCCACATTAAATTAATATATATATATTTTTTAATTTTCTTTCTTTGTATTACAACATTAAACAATTTAATATATTTTATGTATAAATTTTACTCGACAAATTTCATGTCTTCTATCATAGCTTTAAATAATTTATATTAAGTTTATGAAAGATTTATTTTCGAATTTATTATCAATACTAAATTGGATTTTATGGATATACAGATATAATATTGTATAATAAAATAAGATATAATAATTTTAATAGCAAGTATTATCTAATTTAATATTCACTAATTTAAGAAACGATTCACGGAATGAATATTAAATATAAATAATTATAAATAAATCGGTTTTTATTAAAAAAAAAAAAAAAAAATTCTCCTTTAATAGCTACTTGCATTTTTAACAAAGAAATGTAAATAAATAAGAAAAGTATATATGCAGATGATTTGTTAAAATTTCTATTATCAATGAATTATCTTCATTTAAAATCTCTCGAGAAAACGTATTTTTTTATCATAATTTATAAAACAAAATTTGAAATCAAATTAATATTATTTTTAAACTTTTTATCATATTGATTTTTATTTCTTCTTTATGTTCTTCGGAATAATCATAAACTTGTTTATTTATTATAGTTTCAGACTTACAATCGTATATGTAATACTTAAAATATCTTCTTCGACAAATATTTCATTAAAACTCTTGCAAGTTATCAGTACTCTGACACAATCTTAATGACTTAATCTCTATAAAGTTGTTACTAATAAGATTACAATTATTACGGAATAAGAGTTTGCTTTTATTAAAATTCGTTATATTATTTTTTTATATATTTAGCTTTAACCGAATAAGCTAAACCTTAATATTAATTCCTATGTTTTAATCTATGATATCGAAAATTAATCGATAAGAGAAATTGTAGAATATTTCAGGAGGTAAATGTCGTTAATATTTACAAAAATACATAAATAATTGATACACCGTCCATATATCGTTTTTTAATTCTTAGTTTTTTATATTAACGCATGAAATTATTGAGATATTGTTATTTGGAGGACAATAATATTGATTATAAAGTGTAAAAGTTTCTGATCAGAGGGGTTGAAAGAGCGCGAGGGACAGAAAATACTGTGGCACAAAGGAATATAAACCGTAGACAAAGGATGAAACATGTGATGATGTAAAGATTGGCAATGCATGTGCAAAAGTTTCAATGCGTAGAAGGAAATTTCGTTTCACTTCTTTCATTCTTTTAAATTACTCTTTATACCACCGTAAATCCCAGTCAAGTATAATTAAATTTATTAACAAACTAATGTTATATACTTCTCTTAATAATGTGAAAACTTTATTTCAAAAGCTACATTTTTTTATGTCCACGTGTGCTGACATCTTTTCATCTATTGTTAATATCAATTTCCACAATCTAAGCTTACATCTGCTTGATTCGCATGGCATGCGTTGCTAATAGGAAATATTCCATATATGATATACATGCACCGAGTGCTACACCTTATCAGCTACATAAATGTATAGATATGTATAATTGAAATATACTATAAAGCTTATTAGACCCGCCATTCTCCGTTAGCGTGTGTATACATGCATAGGTGCACGAATGGTCATTTCTTATGAGCTTGTCAGTGATTTAAGTATATAAGAAACTTTAAATTTAATCTAACTTGTTTAAAAGATAAATATTTTATCAGAATTAAGCTGAAGAGTAAATATATTCAAAAGTATACTTATACTTTTAATCGGGTAATATGATTAAATTAATCTCCAAAAAATTGAATTTCGTACGACAATTCGCTACTAAAGCTATACCTGCACCGGAAACAAATCCACCAATTTTATACACCGGTGTAAGTTAACTATTATTTTTGTTGAAATATATTTCATTTTTAATTAAATGCACGCTTCATTACATCATTCTGAATGATGTAAAGTTGCGTATTAAAAAAATTAAGTAGTTTATATGTAATTTTTTCTAGTGTGCGTATTCGTGTCTGTATATAATCGATTAGTCATGCATGAGTAAATTGAGCAAGTTAAAAAAAGAAAGAAGCTCAATAATAAATTCTAATAACGCTGACTGTCATATTTTTACAAGAAATTTATATTTGAAAATTTATTTTTTATGTTAAAAGAGTAATAAAGTGAGCTCATATAGTGTATATTATATTGTATTGATTAAGAAAAATTTGAACAACAAATACTATAATTATAATACAATAAAAATTTTTATAAATTAATTTTATAACATAGTTTCATATTTTTATATATTATTTATATATATATATATATATATATATATATATTTTTTTTTTTCTTATCTTATATTACTATTTATAATTTTATTTTAATTTTATTTAGTACAATAATAAAGAAATTATTACACTTTATAACCAAAATAATGAGTTAACATTGTTATTATCAAGTATATAATAAGTAAAGAAATTTTATTAAAAAATTTTTATTTTTATTTTTATTTTAAATATAAGATTTGACAACACACACAAGCATATATTTATATATATATATATATATATATATATATATAAAATATTTGTTTATGATCTCAAGTTACAATTATCTAATTTATAATAGTGTTTCTTGAATTAAAGTTTTGTAATATTTTTTAGATTTTTATTAATAATGAATGGCACTTTGCAAAATCTAAAAAGAAATTTAAAACCCTTAATCCTACGACAGAAGAAGTGATTGCTAACGTTCAACACGGTAGTGCCGATGATATTGATCATGCAGTACAAGCTGCTAAAGAAGCTTTTAAACTCGATTCACCATGGAGAACTATGGATGCATCCAAACGAGGACTTCTTTTGAATAAATTAGCCGACTTGATGGAAAAAGATCGAACATATCTTGCTGTTAGTAAAACAATATTTACTATAATAATATATAAGCAGATGTCAATACAAAAATTGTATCAATTTGTCAATTTTTTAGTCTCTTGAAACTTTTGATAATGGTAAACCCTATTCGGTAGCTTATAATTTCGATGTACCTGCAAGTATTGCAACTCTCAGATACTATGCCGGATGGGCTGATAAAAATCATGGCAAAGTTATTCCTATGGATGGTAAATTCTTTTCTTACACTAGGCATGAGCCAGTTGGTGTTTGTGGACAAATCATTCCTTGGAATTTTCCACTCCTGATGGCAGCATGGAAATTGGGACCCGCATTAGCTACAGGTTATAATACTGTATAGCGCTTTGACATTATAAATGTAAAAAAAAAACACAAATATTTGTAGAATCTTATCTATAAAAAGATTTGTTGTTTGAACAATATTTTTATTTTTAATGTATATATTGAATGCAATGAGTGCGCCTTTAACATAAAATGAAATGATGCGTGTCAAATTATAAACAACGATAAATTTTTTAGGAAACTGTATTATACTTAAACCAGCGGAGCAAACGCCACTTACAACATTATACATTGCACAATTAACAAAGCAGGCCGGTTTTCCTCCTGGAGTAGTTAATGTTGTACCTGGATTTGGCGATACAGGAGCCGCTCTAGTCCAGCATCCCGATGTTGATAAAATAGCTTTTACTGGGTCTACCGAGGTTGGGAAATTAATTAAAGAGGGTGCCGCTAAAAGTAATCTGAAAAGAACAACGTTAGAATTAGGTGGTAAATCGCCTAACATCATCTTTAAAGATGCTGATCTGGATGAAGCCATTGAATCTGCTCACTTTGGCCTATTTTTTAATATGGTACATATGTACATTTGCAAATTCAGATTTAAATAAGAAATAAGTATAAATATATAAAATTGTTGTTTTATATATTATCATTACATATGAAAGACATATGTTTATATAAAGGATTTAATTTTATTTATTACCAAAAACTTAAACTTATATTAAAAGCATATAATTAATTTAAAATTCATCATTAAATAATCAATTGTTTCAAATAACTGTGTACATTATGTAAGCAGTGATAATTTATAAATTATAAAAGTGCGACTGTTATATCACAAAAAATGACATTTTAATTAGAATTTTCAAATAAACCAAAAAAAGCAGAAGGTATATTTATAAATCTAAAGCGTTTGCTTATCATTATAATTTCTTAATTATTTAATTATTTTAGGGTCAATGTTGCTGCGCTGGATCGAGAACTTTTGTTGAAAGTTCTATTTATGATGAGTTTGTTGAAAGAAGCGCCGCTCGAGCTAAGGCTAGAATAGTAGGAGATCCTTTTGATTTGCAAGTAGAGCATGGACCTCAGGTATCTTAATATAAAAGGAATTATTTAACATAATCATTGAATTAAAAATACTATATTATAATATATTATGTTTTATGTCTTTATATTATATTAATATTAATGCTTAGATTGATGAAGAACAAATGAATAAAATCTTAAGCCTGATTAAATCTGGAAAATCTGAAGGTGCTAAGTTAGTTCAAGGTGGTGTCAGAGTTGGAGAAAAAGGTTACTTTATTGCACCAACAGTTTTTGCCGATGTTCAAGATAATATGAAGATTGCAACCGATGAAGTCAGTAATAATTAAAAACAAACGATAAGTAATATATTACATTTATTTATTATAATTCACAGATCTTCGGACCAGTACAGCAAATTTTGAAGTTTGATAAAATTAGTGAAGTAATTAATCGAGCAAACAATACCGATTATGGATTGGCAGCTGCTGTTTTCACAAAAGATATTGATAAGGTGAATTATATGGTACAGGGATTAAGAGCTGGTGTAGTTTGGTAAGTTAATCCAATTCGAGCTTGAATTAAATTCTGTAACTAATATAACATAACATTATACCTTACGAGTTTATAATTTTTTGGTAGGGTAAATACATATAATGTATTATCTACTCAAGTGCCATTTGGTGGCTATAAAATGTCTGGTCATGGCAGAGAACTTGGAGAATACGGTTTAGAAGCTTACACAGAAGTCAAAAGTGTTATTGTTAAAATACCTGAAAAAAATAGTTAAGACTACGAACTCGCTATATCTTTTAAATATTTTTATTATATTTATAATAGCTATAAAATATATATTTTATAATATATTTATACTAGAAACAAAGTTTGTAAAGCCAATAAAATCACATATATTATATTATATTATTAATTTAATAAAAAAATTTTACACATAATAATTATTCATATTATTTAAACAACTTATAATTATGTATAATCATATATGCTAATGAAGCATATTTTTCAAGGATAATTATATAGGATAGAAAGGATAATAATAAGGAACTTTATAAAGTTGAAATACAAGAGAAACTGACATCTAATCAATCACACATAACGTGTTTCCATAAATGCAATACATAGATACGGGAATTCATGCAAATAGTAACAATAAACAACTTAATCAAGAATAATAATGGGGAGTACAAGGAGTACAAAGGAATAAAAACTTATACTAAATTATTTACCTAAATACTAGTCTTACTTATAGAGTCAGAGTAAAGAGAATTAGCAATCTGTTTCATTTGAGAAGGTACTGAAAAATTTTTAATATATCGCAAATGACAATAATTAGTAGAAAAGAGGTATCGCCCACAGTTCCACACAAGTATTAAAAATATATTATAAGTATTATAAATAAAAGTGCATATTAAATTTAATGAGCTAATCATCATTTTTTCAATCACGAATGAATTTGATAAGTCAAGAAAATCATTCATATATGTAAATTCGATAGTAGGATTTCTTACAGCTATAGATTGATTATTATCAAGTTGAAAAACAAATTCTAATATTCAAAAATCTATATATAGTACAATGAAACGGGACATATTAAGATATTTCAAATACGAGAGTGAATTCTTTGTATTAATAAAGCAAAAGTAATAAAGCATAGTACTAAAGTACATAAACGTAGGAATAACAGATAATATTATTAAATTACATGTTATAATTCATGAATGATTTGATCAATAATAAATAGAGTACGGACGAATATGAAAATTGTATCATCACTTGATAACATACGACTTACCCTTTAATGGAGAGGATGGTAAAATAGAATTACAAAAACTTAATATTACAAAAGTTTGAATTAAAATTATATAATAAAAACAATTATCACAGATGGTAAGAAAAATCATTAAAAAAAAAAATGTGAATATTGTCTTTGATCACTCTAATCTCTTTAATCTCAATATTATAATATTCCAATGTATAAACGAATTTTTAATGCAAAAATTTATTGTATAATAGAACTATCACTAGTTTATGGACAAAAGATGAAATACTATTAAAAGATTTATTATAAATATATTAAATAGCAATGATTTATCAGTCTTCATCAATCAAGAAGTAGAAGATTTAACAAGTAACCGTAAATTCGACTCGAGCGATCGCGATTATGCCACACTGATAAAAAAGAATCGTAGTTAACGTGAGACGTAAAATATTAAATGGAACTAGTCTTTGTATACGAAAAAATAATATTATATACTTTCAAAAATACTTAACATTTCTTATCCGTATTAAAACTTATAGAAAATTAAATTGAATCGTACTTAAATTAAAACTCAATTAATCTTATTATACTTTGACTGAATAAATATAAAATAAAGAAATGAGAAACATCGATATAATTAATAGAAATCATTTAAAATGACAGAACAATGATAATGAAAATCAACTGAACAATACACAAAAGATAGTTAAGCTAAAAATCAACACACGATAAATATATATATATATATAGTGTAAAAATGATAAGAATCGAGATTTAACAAAACACATATAATTATTAAACGTGAAAATAGTACGACTAAATTAACGGTATGAGCATTATTAGAATTTCTCTCAAATCCAACTATATGGCAAATACCATAAAATACACTAATGGTATCGGCATATTACGTTATACATATGCTGGAATATTAGTTCGTAGTTAAAGACAAACAATTATAATTGAAATGATTCGTTTGTTGATGAGTAAATGAGAGGAAGTAAAATGATTTAATAAAACTATATAAAAAATAACAATAATAATAAATGAGAATGAATTTCTAAGTAGCGGACACAATGACATATATCACTTTATATCTAAAGGACAAGAATAATAAGCATTGTAAAATTACATTAGAATATAATAATTTAAAAGCCTATGTATAAAATATACCGTTTCCTAACATAGTCAGAAATTTTTAATAAAATTTTCGAAAAAGTTTCGACCATGTCATTTTTTTCTGGAAAATAATATATTCGTGATATCTAATGAAGATACATGTAATTATATAAGAAGAAAGAAGAGAGGACAAAAAGGGTTAGAGAAAGTAAAATTACAACAACAACAAAAAACCGAAAATAAAAGGGTGTAATAATACTGTAAAGTCTAAGTGTAAGTTAGGATTTATTAATAACTAATAGTCTCGATATGCATTGTATTCCTGTAACTTATAGAGATAGATCATCAGCTTTAAATTGCTTGTATAAATCGCCATTATCATTAAATAATCGGGCTGTCGATCGTGTATAAAAATGTATTAATCTTCTTAGTACCTGTATGGTAACAACTAAAGTACTGTCATTTTCTTTGTCGAAAGAACAATAACTTTTTTATTTAAAGTGAAAAATGTTGTTCTAAACGATCATACGTTTCCAAGCGCAAAACTAGGTAAGTTTCCTCGACGTTTTACCTTAATTTCAGATTAATAAATTTCAAATTCATGTAGTATGTATAATATATTATTGATATTTATAATAATAGCATTGATGGTCTACTAACGTTAAATTATTTTAATTTAGCAGAAGTATGCTACTAAATGATATTAATATTAATAAATAAAAACAGCACTCGTGGATGCATGGTTGAATGGTATATTTTTAATCACAGTTACAATTTGACAATTTTGTATTCAACAATTAATAATATCAATAAAACAAAAAAATTAGCACATATTAATTATACGATATATTAAAAATATTATGATGCATTGTATTAGTTCCAATTATTTACGGTGTTTAATAGTAACGACATTATGATTTTCAAAGTTCAAACATTGCGCGCCTATGAATCATTTATCATTATGCGCAATGCATAATGTTATAATAAAAATTGTTTTTTAATTATTTTTAAGCTTGACTTTTAAATAAATATTGATTACATTAAATTTATAAATAACCAAAACCAATTATGAAAAATTTTATTTGCTTAATTACACAATATTTATCAGAATGCAGGTTTTGCATCCTCAAAGCCGTCAGTTCTTTGTAATTTTTAGAATTTATTTTTTAATTATATTGTTACGAATTTTCTTCTTTTCTTTATTGTAAAAACGTTTTATCGACTAATATACGAGGGGCCATTTTTATAATTGTTTATATAGTATTGAAATACACATGCATACACTCACACACATGCATATATATATACGCACAATAAGTTCGTAACCTGCAAAATTCTATCAAGCTATCATTCATTTATTTCACTACTTGCGTTTTGAATATATAGAAATGTTGAAAATTGAATACAGTTGTATAATTTTACATTATGCTTCGTCGGATGGCGGTTGATCAGACAGCAGCGAAACACGTACGATTGAAAATGGGTATTTGTAAATTTCAATAAATCACCGACTCATAGGGGAAGGTTCATTTTACAATAAAAACAAATATATATATACATTACACCCGGATGCATTCAACAGTAAAAGTGCATGTATGCCTTTATCACCATAAGCTATTCCATCGATGTAATATATGCACTTTACGGATCAGATGACTGATGAAAGAAAGAATAAAAATCAACAGGCATCGGGTTTTGTTTGTTGAACATTAAATACAAATAGTTACAACGCCGGCGATCGTCAAGAAATAAAAACAAGAATTTAACTATTTATAGTAATGTAATATTATAATTAATTACGGAAATTGTATATTGAATCCAAGTTGTACGGATTCCTATTGCACGCACAGAATGACAACTACGCCGGGGCAAGTGGTCAGTAACATGACATTAAAAATTTAAAAAAGTAATTTTACACATTAATATTTATATACACACACGCACGCACGCACGCACGCACACGCACACACACATCTTTCGTTTTTTAAATATAAATGCTATTATTAATCACAATATTTTTATTCACTCTATACTTTTCTGTTTGTCCCACCCTTCTCATTTTTCCTTATACATCCTATTCTCCCCCCCCCCGCCCCTTCCCGCTCCCACTCTTTCGCTCCTTTTCCTAAACATTCTACTCATTTTTACCCCTTTTCATTCAATATTTATTACCATTCTAAAAAATTCTGTATTAATTTATCACTTATGTTTTGTAAAATTTATCTTTGTAAATATACTGTAAAATTACATTGATATAAGACTGCCTATATAAAATTATTAACAATCACCTTTGGTAACTGTGGATAACATTTTTCTACGATTCCATAAGCTTTTTTTTCGTTTTTGTCTGTTTGCATTTTTAATTTTATGTATACATTTTGTAAATAGCTTTAACGCATCATATATTTTTCTTCATGTTTTCTGTATGAACATTTAATATACTTTGTATACTTGTTACATTTGCACTTTTTCTTGATATTCTTCTCAAGCAGGAAATAAAAATATTAATATTAAAGTACAGATGTCTAGATTCTGACAATTATTTTATTTTGTAATTTTTTAGCTCGTGTATTAGACACTTCAAATACTACTTCAGCTATGTACATATTTTTTTCATGCAAGTTTCAAAAATTTGGAAATTGTAAAATACTTTCTAAAGTTTTTGAATGATTTGAAAGTATTTTAAACTGGAAAAAATTAGTACTTGTACGTTGATTATTCATATAAAAAAATTAAAAGACATCTTAATTAATTAATTATATAATTATGATAAATGTTTGTGTTGATTAATGAATCGTAGTGATAAATAATTATTCAACGCGGGAAAAATGTTTTATCTTTCAGAGTGAACAAATGACATTAGAATAATTATAAAATATAGCATATTTTTATTATAACTTATAAAGAATAAAAATAATATTATATGTATAAAAAATTTTGTTTTAAAATTTTGTATAAAATATTTTGTAATTAATTAATCATCGAAAGAGCGATAAAATTAAATTTCAATCAAAATTAAATTTATTTCTGTTATTAAATTCCATACAATCATGTTTTCTTTTTTCGAATTACGTAAAAAGTGAAAACAAAAACAAATTTCTAAATGATTTTAATTTGTATGAAACGAGTGCATTTTGTATGTATGAGTTATTTCGACATTGTCGACTCTTGGTAACTTCTTATATTATTTTAATATCATCTACTTATATTACGTCACTATTGCCTCTCTTTTATATTTATATTATTATGTATTTTTTATATATGTAATACTTTAATACGTATGCAATTTCTTTTAAATATATATAGTATAAATACAATATTATAGCCCAAGACTAAATTTATTTTTATTCTAATGAAATAATTTGTAAATAATAAATTAGCATAATTTATTTTATTGTAATAGCAAAAATGGTATCACAAATTAATAATTCATCTAAATACAAATAAATATATTCGATATAAAGTGTAAAAATTTATTTTGTAATTTGTTAAAATTATGCATTACCACCCAAACAATTTGTATTTATAATATTTTTTGTATAAGTAGCTAAAAGAATTTTGTAACTATACAATAACATATTCACAAAAAGTTTGTCTATTATTAGTGGTCATAAATAATATTCATCTTTATTTGAATACATAACAAATATTTATAATTTTTAAATATTTAAAATTTACTTTAGTTATTTCTATATGAATGAATACAATGGTTGGATACTAAAAATTGTAATACATTTTTTTATCACTAAATAATATACATTTACGAAAAATCTCGACATATTTATAATAATTTATTAAAGTATTTCTAGTAATTTATTCAGGTATTTTATTAATAACAATACTTATGTAATAAGTTAGAATAGCTTACATAAATAAAATTCTATTCAGAATCAAAACGAAATGGTCTTTTATAATCAATGAGATTGCTTATTAAACAATACTGTACATTTACAATACTTTAATACTTTATTTTACTGCTGTTTGGCACTAGAGCTTTATTAAATGAATAATAACATGTTAAGTTAAAGTTGCAGATAAATAAACCGATTGTGTAACTGATTTATTGAATTTCTTAATTCTCATATTATCTTTAATTATTGCATGTATATTTGATTATAAAAGGGAATTACTTTTTAATAACATTGATCTCTTTTCTTTTTTTTCCCCAAATCTCATTAATAATTATCTTATTTTATATTTTTTATCTAAATCGTAGTAGAAAAAATGAAAATAAATAATAAAGTCGCTCTTGCTTTTGTTTTGTTTCTCTAGTATTTTAAATGTTTCAATATTATTCAGAAATTTAAATAGATGTTTAATGAAACGTGTTAAAGAATTAGAATAATTATATTATAGATGAAATAAATATACAACTACTTATTAAATTAATAATTACTTACGTCATTAAATATTAATGCCGATTATTGATTACTTATTAAAAGTGCCAAGTATAATTAAAAAATGAATCTGAACCTAAAGTTCTTTTTGTCTCTTGTGTTCGTTTACAAGATTTCATGATGATTGAAAAAAAAAAGTTACACAATAATAATACAATATAAAAAGCGCTAAAAATATAATATATTTATATAAAGAACGTAAACTAAGGAAAGCGCTGCAAATTTTTCACGAATAGGAAACAAAAAACGATTTCGATCCATTAGTTTACTTTCAATAAATATTCATTATATTTGATTGATTTAAGAAACTTTCATTTTAATACTTTATGTTTTCTTTAAAAATAAACTATTATTTTCTAATTAATTGTTCAAATTTACATATAATTGCATTTAAAAAATGTATATTTTATATATTTTCTTTTTTATAATTTTATATTATGTACGCTATACATTTACATATTAAAATAAAATATATGTTTGATTTATTATAATATACTAGATTTTCTTAAAATGATTATTAGCGACAAATTAAAAGTAGCTTTTTTATATATCATGTTTTAATTCACTTAAATTAAGAAGTTAAACCGATAAAAATATAAAGTAACAGTAATATGATAAACTTTTTAATAAAATTTTGTTAATCATATTTATAAATCCATCTTAAGTTACTATGTTACTACTAAATGGTTAATACTAATAGTTATTTATATACTATTTATATATATATATATATATATATATATATATATATATATGTAATACACTATTATGTCTACTCAATATGTTAAACTGATAGATTTATATATATTATATATATATATATATATATATATATATATATATATATATATGTAATACACTATTTGTATACTAATACTAAATAGTTACTATGAATTTTAGATGCATTTTCTTTAAATTTTTTAAATTCAATTTTTTTTAATATATATATATATATATATATATATATATATATATATATATATATATCAATTTGCTTCTCACATTATCTAAGCATTCATTAAATTCTTTCTATACATTAATATTCATACGGAAATATATATGAGGAATTATATTGAATAAGAAGATAATGTATATTCGATATTTTAAGTAAACAAAGAGAATGCTCGAACTATGTTGAAGTTTATTTGCTCTGATCTATTTTTAGTTACTCATCAAGATTTCTTTATCTTATAAAAATAGGTAATTAAAATGAAATATTTCAATTAATTTAAAATAAAATTCTCTAATTATTTATAAAAAACAATGATTAAAATCATACGGAATATATCAAACTAAATTTCACTTACGAGTTTTATCATATCTATGAAATATAAAAGAATACGAAGGAGTATTCTATAATTTTTTAATCAAATTAAATTAATTTTTTATTTGCTTATTATAATTTATTACTCAAAAAAAATTGAAGCCAACTTTATTATTACTTTTTAATTTATTAAAAATTTCATTTAATGCATATTTTATTTTAATAAACAAATATTATTCTCATATGTCGTTGCACTTCTCATCCAAAGAATATTAATAATTTAAATAAATCTAGTTATTTTATAACTAAGTGCGTATAATTCATTGAAGCAATGAAATTGGTTTTATTAATTGCACGTGTACAATGTAGATGAACGTTTATACTTTGCTTCGCAATTTTCTTTCTCAAAATACATTTTATACTTTAAGATACGTAATGCTATAAATAATATATATATATATATATATATATATATATATATATATTACATTAGGTAGAATTTTAATTATTATTTATTATAAATATTAATAAAATAATAACGTTAATAAATAATTTTTTTTTTTTTACACACTACTGCAATTTATCGGGAAATCTTTACACGTACAATAATTACCTATAAAATTTATAATTAACATCTTCAAATGAAATTTATCTAAGGTTGCTTTTAATTTTCTACATATATCCAAACGATTATTTTCAAAATTTAAATAAGCAAGGTAGATAGATATACTTGAATAAAAATTCGATAAAAAATATGGAAAAGAATATAAAAGTAAGGCTTTTTATTATTATAATTATTAGTCTTAACTTATTAAGTATTAGTCATAGCATTGTCATGTCAGGAAGATGTAATGCTGGTTAAATTCCTTTAGTATTCGATATTTTTAATGCAATCATGTGAACGCAACTTGAAAGTTTTCTTCAATCGCAGTTTCATAAGTACTCGATGCTGTTCTTCTTTCAATAAAATTTCTCTAAATAAAACTACTCTGATATCAGAAGTATTTGTAAATCGATACGATGTTTATAAAATGACATTATTAATAATAAATATATGTATCAAAATATTTTTATATTTCGATTATTAATCAATCGATATATTAATAGTAATTAAGTTTATAAATAGTAATTAATAGTAATTAATATATTAATATTAATTAATATTAATATATTCATAGTTGTCTGCTAAATTGAAATAAAAATTTATTTTTTTTTTTTTATTTTTATTTAATATTTTCATGATTGAACTCTGTGCAATAGGAATTTAAATAAATTTATAAATTAAGTTTATAAATAAATCTATACATTTATTATTATACATAGCCTCGATGTTTTCACATTCTATCAATTATGATTGTAGTAATAATATACATGAGTTTATGTATATAAGATATATATATATATATATATATTGTTGTATAATAGATTCAATTATTTTTCAATATCTTTTATTTATTATAAGATTGCAATTAAAGGTTGTGACAAATGGGTAAGACATTGCGCTACAAAAGTTGCATATAATCAAACATATAATATTATGAACATGAGTTTGAAAAACGAAAAGAATATAAATATTATTTTATGAGAAATCATAATTTATAAAAGATTTGTTAATATACATTTTCTTTAATATATAAATTATTCAGTTGAAAATGACTGATTTCATTTCAGTTGCGCAGTGTGGGACCAAAACTCGTGCCATTTTTAAAAAGCGTATGTGTTTATTTTATAATATTGACCGAACAGCCATGTCTATTAACAGCGTGTTTCAAATGTCTCCCCATAATTAGTCTAATTATCTTCGTACTTCTACATGGTATCAACTTATCAAAAGAGTAAGTAGAATAAACAATATTAAAACAACAAAAACAACAAACGGTTTTCTGTAATTATATATGTAATTATTATTTTTCTAACAAAAAAAAAAAAAAAAAAAAAAAAAAAAAAAAAAAAAAAAAAAAAACCAACAAATGCAAAAATATTTTCAATGAAAGATATTACTAAAAGACCTTTTGTAGGTATGCATTTAACCGACGGATATTGATAGGCCTAGTATTTAGTTGTTTTGGTGATGCACTCCTTGTCTGGCCTAATTACTTTATCCCAGGCATGGGAATGTTCGCAGTGGCTCAAGTTATGTATACAAGCGCATTTGGACTCTGGCCGTTTAACGCTAAACTTGGAGCCTTTATCTATACAATATGCGCAATAAGTAATATATTAAAATAACGCTATTAACAATATTTCCTATTACACCAATGCTAAGTATTATTATGTTTTGATATGTTAATTTTTACAGTCATTTATACATTAATGCCCGGTTTATATGGCATTTTAAAAATTGGAGTTCCGCTTTATACGTTATTATTGGGCACCATGTCCTGGAGAGCTATTGCAAGAGTCCAATTTTTTGAGGTAAGAAACGTCTCATAGCACAAATCGTGATTTATACTTTTTAATATTCTACTAATCGTTAACAGGTTTATCGATTTTTCAAAACTTTAGCATTTAAAGAAAATTTCAATAATGATTGTAAATTTATTTATAAATAGCTTACAACTGGATAGCTTATTACAAACTTTTCAACTATAATACATATAATAATTCAGAATATGAAATGATGAAAAATAATTGCTCATGAATTAAACAATTTTTATCAAATAAAATAACGACGATAAAATAATGATTTGCTTACAAATTCTGCCAATTATATTAAAAAAATCCATTTGAATTTGAATAACATTTTAATTGTTTTAATAACAAATTACCAAGAGTTTAGCAATTTAAATGTTTTCTTTTTATAACGAATTGTCCCCCCCCCTCCCTGCCCGCCCCCCCAACATGAATATATCAATAAAAATAAATATATTGTTAATAAAAGGAACAATGGCCATGGACCAAATTATCTAGCTGTATTGGAAGTATATGCTTTGTGATATCGGATACTTTAATTGGATTTCATCACTTCTACAGTCCTATCCCTTATTCACAAGTATGTTACCAAACAATTTTTTAAGTGTTTATCTTAATTTCTTTATGAACATTCGAAACTAATGTTGAATTGCAGATTACGATTATGTTGACATATTATATTGCGCAACTTGGAATAGCTTTGAGTGCAGTGGAATCGTAAATCAATAAAGAAAATGATGCTAAACGATTATTTTCTAATATTAATTATCGACTGTATAATGAAAATATGTAGGTTTACCAAATAGTTTTTAGGTAAAAAAAAAATCGATATTATACATTATTATATATTTGTCCGATATTTATGTTAAAAATTATTACTAATTTTCGTTATATTGTTTTATTATAAAAATAACAGAATTTCAAAATGTATTTGCATTTAGAATTTATATTTGTATTTATGATAGTACGCATTTTTTATTAGTTCTTCTTTATTTTTTTTTTTTTTTTTTTTTTAATTCACACTTTAATAAATGGTAGCAATACTTGTTATTCAGTATTCACAATAGTTAGCGATTGTTAAGCAATTAATTGTTATTATTATAAGATAGCAGATAATAATGTTTAATGTACGAATAGTTTAAATTTCATTAAATGATTATTTATTTTAAATGAACATAGATATTTTTATTTAATTTAACATTTAAAACATGAAATGTAAAGGATTTGATAACAAAATAATTTAAAAATATTTAAAAATTTATTTTAAAAATAAATTAACGAATACAAGACTAGTATCATAAGAGCATAATATAACAACAAATAGTGTAATTGTATTTGTATAGATAAAAAAAAAATCTACTTTTATTACTGTTATAAACTTATAAAAACTATATATATATATACATCACAGATGTATTGGCTATATTATAATTCATTAACAGTGGTATGATTTTTATTAGAATTATTAAACTAACATAGCATTTGAATTCTAGTCTATTTAAGTGTGATATTCAAAAGGTTTGAATTTTGAAATTATATTGTTTCATACATACAAAAAATAATTAGATACATAATGTTTTATTTACAGAAATATGATTTTTACACTGGATAATGGATGCTTATATACAAATCAATTCAAAAATTGAAATTTGAATTTCATTATGAACTCCAACTAAATCATATTGATATTTATTTTAATATATTTTTCATTATTATTGTAAATTGTAAATTGTAAAATTGTAAATTGGACAAGATCTCTTTCAGTGTACATCGTTTACGGTATTACAAAAAGTAACATTAATTTTATTAATATTTACGTTTATGTAAAACGAGCGATATCCCTATATTATATTTTATTACAAAATTAATACTACTGCAGAGTTAAGTGTGCGGTGATAAGTATATAAAAATAATTTTATAAGTTATGAAAAAAATGAGTTTAATAAATTAAGTATACATTTGTTAAATACAATAGGTAATTGCAATAAGTGCAAACCTTCTCTAGATCATTTCTCTTCATATTTAATAACTTTATAAATAGAAATATATTATTGTAAGAAAGATTTTATTTAGAATTATGTTTTACTTTTTTTCTACTATTATTATCTTGCTTTCCTCTTTTTGATGTCTTAACCACTTTGATTGCTTTAGTTTTAACCTTTTCTTTATCCTGATTTTCCACTTCGTCCTCTTCTCCTCCAAAATTATACTTTGTAGCGAGTCTTTCTCGAATAATTAAGCTTTTAATAAGCTTCTTCCAATTGCCGTAAATTCTTTTATCACGTTTAGCTTGAGCTCGTTTTTGAGCTTCTATTTGTTCCTCTTCCCAGGCTTCGCGTAAAGTGTCTTCATATTCCTCACAGACTACAAAGCCCTCAAAAGCAGGTACAGCACCTCTACATCCAAAATTAAAACCAACGCAAGCTGATGCGCAATCTATATTTAATTTACGGGCAATGCGATTTAGTGCTGGCACTGCAAATAATATATTCAATCGTCTTAATTTGATTATAAATACAATTTTTACAATTCGTACGGTTAAATGGGCTAAATAATAAAGTTAATAAGCTCTCGATTAAAATGACTTAGGTTTGTAAATGTTAGTGGTGGAATTTACACTTTAGTTTCAATGCTCGGTACACGAAAAGTTACTTTCAATTGGCAGTTAACGTAGCTGTTTAAAATACTATATTCAAGTTAATAGTTAAAGCATTATAATTAAGCCTCTATTCAATTTACTTGAACTAATTCAAATTTAAATTAACAAATAGAAAACAATTAAATTTAGTATTTTCAAATATTTTATTATAATCACTGGCATAATTTGTCAATCGCATTGGTTTCAATATATAAATATTATTACAAATGGTTATTACAAATATGAAAGTGTTAAGCAAAAAGTTCACCATTACATAAAAAAAAAAAACATTTAAATCATTTAATCTACTTACGATTTATATGTACCGTTCCTTTTGGAAGCATACACTTTTTAAACAAATCAACATTTCCATATTCATTTCGTGGTACTTTACCGTCCTTTGCCTCTGGAGGTATATAGGGAGTAGTTTGCCATTTGCCAAACAATTCTAAAGGTTGATCTTTTATCTTCATCCCTGAAAGCTATCATTGTAGAATAAAATTATTTATTTTTAATATCAATAAAAGGACTAAAAAATTTTAAGTTTTTTTTTTGTTTTTTTTTGTTTTTTTTTGTTTTTTTTCAGGTAGTTAATTATTAGATTTACTTATATAAAATTAACCCTATCAAATTTTTAAGTTTTAATCAAAGATTTTAAGTTTTTTTTTTGTTTTTTTTTTGTTTTTTTTTGTTTTTGTTTTTCTCAGGTAGTTAATTATTAGATTTACTTATATAAAATTAACCTTATCATATTTTGGCATAGATTTCACAATTTTATAAGCTTCTTGAGCTGGTTTAACCACTCGAGCTCTTTTAATCCAAGTTTCTCTAGAATACAAAGTATGTACACAGTGGCGAGAGTAAATTGCATCACCAGTTTTTAAATGACCTAATGGCACAGCATCGGGTGGATAGAGAGCTTCGAATTTTAATAAATGTCTAGTTAGGGCATATAGAGGATGGCCTTTGCATTCTGTAACTGTTTTGGGAAGAGGTTGTTCTAATTCTCTGTTTAAAACATAATCGATAATATTAAATTTTATAAAATACATTACTATAAGAAGATAATTTTATTTATAATACCTTTGCAGCAGTTGCTCGTCTTCTGTTTTAGACATAACAGTCTTCCTTTCTTTCCAATTCAACAATGTTTCACTCCACCATTTTTCATCGACTCGTTTCTTTCGAGTGTCCGTTAACCAATGTGGACAGTAACGTCTAGTAACGTCTTTTAATGTTCCATCGGAATTCCAAGCTACTATATATAAAACAGGGTGGTCAGCTTTTTTCTATAATAATACAATTATACCATTTACTAACAGTTTGTTAATAATGCATCAATCTATTATTCACTTACGTATATCTCAGAAGCACAATGAATTTGCTTATCTAAAACATTAACACTGATCCAGCTTTCCTCGGATTCAACATAAACTTCTACCCAAATATTATATCTGGTTTTATTTACAGTATTATCATCTTCATCCGAAGATAGCAATTTACGATTCTTATTCTCTTTACCAGCAAGCTTAGATGATATGGTCTGTTTTTCATTAATTCTATTTGCTGGTCTTTTCTTAGGTTTTTCGTTGGCCCTAGTTAGTACTCTTTTCTTAGGTTTTGTTTCAATATAATCATCATCCGTTGAAAATTCATTCGATTCATCAGACAAATTTTCATTCAAAGACGATCTACATTTTATATTTTCTAAAGATTTAATATCTTTTGATTTACTTCTTGTTTGTCTTTGATTATTTGAAATACTAGTATTAGTAATATCTTGTTTTTTACTTTTACTAATACTCAAAGATAATTTTTCTGCTATTGTCAAATTACATTCATCTTGAATACTATCAGTATCTTTGCTACTATTATTTTCAATTTTTATATCTTTTAAATGATCATCTTTTTTTAACTTATTTTTCGTAGGTGCTTTTTTTTTTAAGGTAATCGCTGCTTGCTTCCTAGTTTTTAAGTTCATAATTCTAGTCGCTTCGCTACTATTTTCAGGAATCATTTTTTTTGGAGATGTCAACCGTTCTTCTGATTTATGTAGAATTTTATCGCTTCTGCTTTTCCTTACATTAGTATTAGGTATTATTTTTTTTGTAGTACTAATTTTTTCATTTATTTTGTCAACAGTTTTTTCTTGTTTTATTAATTTGGCATTTGGTTTATTGTCTTCAACTATTGTAAATTTAAACAACTGTTCAGGTTTTGGTTTCAATGGTGGTGGTTGTAGTGAAATTACCAAACGACAATTGATACCCATTCCTCTAATGGTAGCAATATATAATAAAATTAATTCTTTGTAATTATAAATTTTTTTTTCTGAAATTCTTTGCAATAATAAGTTTTTGGTATAAGTTACTTCTTTATATTTTTCGCAAATTTGAAATATTCCTGCAAACCATTTTGTAAATTTTTCGACATACATTAAGTCTGGCCGATTTTTTGGATAATTATGCGACGATACTTCGGATAAAGTGGTTTTTAGTAGCTCGGGATCATTAGCCAATCCATTGAGAAAAAATCCATGTGACAACCAACAAAGTAATCCACTCTTGTGAATGAGTATTTGAGAGCTTCTTATTCTCTGATTAAATTTATTCTGTAATAATTTTTGTAAATCCTCTTCTTTTTTTCTCTTTTTATCAAATAAAAAGTTTTCTCCTGGAAGATGAATTTGAACACCTTTCTGCGGAATTGTATAAATTTCTTTAGTCTCTGTTTTAGAATCTTCAGCATCATCATTTTGATTAGATAGGGTAACTTTACTTTCTCCTTGTAAAAGGAGATTAGTAATTTCGTTGGCTAAATCTTTTTTGCAATCCGTTGATTCTTGATTGTTGATCTTGGATGTTGATGGTTCTAATTGGTTCGCTACATCCTCATGAGTTTGATTTTTTGTATTTTCAAGATTTTTTAATATATGAGAAAGATAATCGATAGTTTTGTCATTTGTGAAATCAAACTCATCGGAATCATCGGAATCCTCCGAACTTTCTTCTACGATCGTATTTTTATTTAGGTTAGAGTTCGTCACTGATTGTTTAAAAAATGATGAATCTAAGTCAATTTGATCAGCAGGTATTAAAAATTCATTACTACTATCAGAGCTTTCATCATCTGATAATTGACTCATATTTTCTTAATTATCCAACGAATGATAATAGAGGAAAAATAATTTAAACATTATATGAATTCACAAATGAGTTAATAATCACGTACAAATAATACTTCAAAACTAAATGGAAACATACTTCACGTATATGATTGATGATGCTGATACAGTGTTGTAAAACTCAGGAAATTTTATTTTCATTATTTACATAATATTTTGCAGTATATTGCATAGTGTAAACTCAATAAATAGCAGAAAATAAGTATATAAAGATTAAATCCCGATTTATGAAGCTCTTAAAGCTCTTGGATTCTATGGCGTAAGACTGGAATATCATTCCCGAATACGTTCCCCTCACTTCCTTTTCTTCGATACAACCACACATCAAAAGAAAGTTTTATTCCTTTAAATATAGCTGTAAATTCTTCCACCAGTGTAGTATTATAATTATTATATCTTTAAAATAATTTTAATAGTAAAAAGGATTAGAGATTACGGTTAATTTTAAGCATAGCTACGTTCGCGTACAAAATTTTACACTGACGTTCTGAAATTTTCATATTTGTTTCATTTAAAGACGTACCTATCAAGCAATCAATTAACAATTACATTTATCAAGTATAATAATTATTTTAGGGACATCAGATTTTACAAATCAAAATTGAGATAGAGAGAAAAAAAGCACAGCTTTATTTAAACCAAAAGGAAATATAATATTAAAAATTTTTCACGACAATAAAATTAGTCGGATTGCAATATATTCGTTAAATTTTATTAATATTCTTGGAATAAGCTAAAAGGTAAGTTTAATGCTAATGAATTTAATATTATAAAGTTAAATAAATTCGTTGATCGGAATATGCTTTTCGATAAGAATTAAATTTAAATAATAATAATTTGAATATTAGCCATTCGTAAAAATTATTCGCAAAAATATTACATAATTAATAATGTACGATGAAAATGTGTAAAAAATATTGATATATTAACACGAAAAATATAATAAACTCTATTGTTAGAAAATATGTCGCTTAATGAATAATACTTAAATGCAAAATTGAATGTCTTAAACTAAGAATATTAATTTTCATACTTCATCGACACTGATTTCTTCGATTTTGAACAAACGATAGGCAAATTGTATTTATGCTTTTAATAACAATGATTGTTATTGTTACTTTTGTGGGTACAAAAATAAATGTTGTTCGAAAAGCAGTCTTTCGGATAAAAATACATCAAAAATTTTGACAAACACGTTAGTATATAATAAGATAAGCATCGTCGGATAATTTGATGCTTGTAAATATTCTTCTCAACATTGTGGATACATTTTCAATTATAAATATAATGTTGTTAAAATTCACATCCTTGCTTTTTTCAAGATATGATAAAATCTTCATAAAATAAATTCGATACATACAATTGTTCTTAATGCTATTGTTTGCATTATAGATTACAAAATATGAGAGATAGAAAATTTCTAATAATTATAAATGAATTTTCATCCGATACCTGATTTTCATTAACAGCGAAGGTATGGATTTTTAGATTTTTTATAATATGCCGAAAGGAGCGATAGGTTTGGCGAATTCGGTATATACCAGGCAGATAATCAAAATGCACTTACCGCGAGCTTATTGCAAATATAAAATTTTCCCAGCAACTTACTTCTCAGCTTTTTATCCACATCAATATATTTTTATGCAAATACAACTTTGCTTTGCGTACCATTGAAAAATATTCGTCTTCTAGCATTAAATGAATCATCGATCAAGATTTATTTTCAATAAGATTTTATTAATAAAATTCAATTTAACTAATAAAAAAAGGTGTAAAGTGGTATATACAAAAATCATGAAAATAATATATATATATACAAACAATTTTAATAAATTATTATTTTCATTATTTTTGTGATTGGGAAATTTACGTCTTTCTTTATTATACTCCATTATGATTTTCTATTTTCTTTCATTTATAACTATTTCGATTTTTTAATTAGCAATACATATCTTAGCGTGCGATCGGTACTTTGATTCATTCTTTTTATTATATTTCTAATTTACTCAATACTAAGCTCCTGTATTAAAACATGTTTGTACATGTAAACGAAAATATGCATACGTAAGGAAAAAAATATTATTACAATTACTTAACGTGTAAAGTAAAAAAAATTTCACTTAGAAATATATAATGGAAGAATATAATGAATCTTCAATAAAGTAATATCTAATTAATAATCGCGGATGTCAATATTTAAAAGAAAAATAAACAAATAATATATAACATTTAACACTTGGCCTGTTGATAATTATACCTACCTATTACTTATTATTCCATTATTGATTGATATATATATATATATATCAACCCAGTCAGTTGCAAAATAGATCCGAGTCGTTTTGATAGGTGAATGTAATTATATCCTAATATGCTTACATATCTTTTAATCGAAGCTCATCAATGCTGGAGAATTACAATTAATGTTCATCTAACTCCGAATTGAATTCTTATGGATTGTATTTCAAATATTAAATAAAATTACTATTTTTTTTTTTCGCCAAATTATAAGCACATTTTTCTTTTAGTTATGAGAATATAGTGAAAATTCCTTTACATAATAGAATATATTAAAATAATAATTAAATAAATGCAAGTTTATGGTTATTGTAATTATCATAAAAGATAATTATTACATGGGCTACAAAAATTGTATTAAATAAGAAATAATAAGCAAAAATATCAAATGAAAACTATGAATTTGAAGAATGATTGCATTGCAAAGTGGTAAAATTGTAGTAATAATATTGAAAACTAAATTATGATGAATATATCCTATTAATTCTTTTCATTTATTCCTAAAATGTTTAATTCTAACGCACTAGTGCCAGATAGATGCATTTTACAGTTAATATAATAAATGCTTATTCCATATTAAATAATTTTCTTAGTGGTTTTATTTTTCATAATATTTTGTTAAATCGACTTTGAAGATTTACATTTATAAGTCATTCAAATTAAAATACAAACTTCGGTATAAAATGAGTTCAATATAGAACTGAATGTAAATAAAATAAAATTTAGAACGCTTGGATACTGTACTATAAGATAAAGTTTAAAATAATTTATATATAAATGTTTGCTTTACTTTTGTTTGAAACAATCTTTTCATTTTTGTTTGATTTTAGCCACATGACATCGAATTATAAAATATTTACTTATTATTATTAAATTACGTAATATTAAAATGTTTATTTGTTATGAAAGACGAATGAAAATTTACAAACGAAAATTTGATATTAAATATTTGCATCATAATTTCAATACAGATAATAAATTGCTTATCATTTTATATAAAACATATTTTTAAAATTAAAATATGAATATTGTACTAAAAATATAAAAAATTCTTTATATACATATAACGTATTTATATGTAATTGAAGACCAACTATATTACATATAAATCATCCTTATTTATTATTTACAAATGTTCGTGGATCTCGTCGTTTACACTTTTAGAAGTAGACATGTTTTTTTTTTTAAATATAATTTTTGTTATAAATACACATTCAATTTATATTGGAATTGGTAAATCTTTGGCTACTAATATTAAAATTTGATCAATGCTTAGGCACCAATTCACAATATTTTTTGATACATTACACCAATTTTCACCATGATGAGGATCAGCAGCCACGCAACGTCTTTTAACTTCATCTTGTTGTTCTTCAGTTCCATTCAACAATTCAAATTTATAAAAATAGGCCCAAGCATCTCCTAAGTCAGGATCTATTTTTACTGTTTTATTAAACCATTCTCGACACTTATGGATTTTGTTAGGATCACACCAAATCATCCTAAAAAAAAAAACAACAACAATTATTATTAAAATATAAGATGCAAACAATTTTAATTTATATAAAGAATAAAATTCAAATCACTTGGAGATTGCAAGAAGCACGTGAGGATCGTGTTCACACTTTTTTAACGCATCAATACTCTTTGTTCTTCTTTGGGGACGCGGTTCCATAAAAATGGCTTCAGCCCATAGTAAGCCAGAATTTGAACATTCTTGGAGAGCTTTAGCCATTAAGGTATTTGCCATATCTCGATTGCCTCCAGATTTCATTTCATTTCTTATTGCTTCGAGCCAAAGTTCTGGATTTTTCGGATTGCGAAGACGTGCTTTTTCTAAAACTGACCGAGCTTTTGTAAACTGATTTCTTTTGATTTCCAATTGTGCTAGTAACCTCCAAAGTGGTATTGATGCAGGACATTTTTTAATCTAAACATAATAACATATACAAAATTAAATGTGATAATGTAATTATATAAAAAAAAAATTATATAATATTTGATACATTTTTTTAAACATTTTTTTTTTAATAAGAAAACTTCATCTTTAGACAAATACGTTATAGATATTAAAAGTATAATCTTCGTATGAGAAATTATAATATTGAAAGGATATGTACTTCTAAATGTTTGTAATTGAAATAGTTTAAGTATGTATTAAATTTTATGGAATTTTATATATATTTTTACTAACCCCTTGATTATATGTTTCTATTGCTTTTTCCAAATGCCCTTGCTGTTCTTCAATTTGCCCTTTCATTAGCCATAATTTTGGGAAATCTTCAAAGGTTTCAATAGCCTCTTGTAACAATTGTAAAGCTACATCAAGATTATTCAAAGCCCATTCTAATTTTGCACTTTTCATCATAACTCTTGGTGTAGGAGCAGAAGCTCTTGCCTTTGCTAATAAGCGTCTAGCTCTTTCATATTCCGAATTTTCAGATTCTAATTTAACAGCAGCCAACCAAATATCTTCAGAATTAGGATTTGCTTGAAATGCAAGAGATAAAATACCTCTAGCAGCTGGTACATCTCCCTGATACATAAAATTAAATAAGAAATATTTATCAAAATATAAAATGTATAAAATAATGTTTAAAAATTTTTAATTAGTTGAATAACGTTAACATTACCGCCAGCCATTTCGATTTAGCCCCCATGAGCCACAAAACTTCACTTTTAGGACAATGAGCGACCGCTCTTTGCAGTAAAGTTTCTAAAGATTCTCTTGTTCCATAAGTCTTTTCAAAATAAGCTGCTCTAAGCCAAATAGATTTTTTGCTTGGGAATGCACTTAAAGCATAAGCATAAACAGCCCTCGCACATTCAAGAGCACCTTGTTGAGCACACTATAAATAAATAATTATATCAAGATTAATAAAATTATTAGAAATATTAAGATAAGTTTATATTATTTAGTAATTGACGTTTTAATTTAAAATAAACACAATTTTTATTTGAAACTTTTTTAGCACTTATTTAAGCTAATATAATCGTTTATTTATTTCACGTATACTTTACCGTTTCAGAATCTTCCATCCACGTATGTTTTCGATCTTCTTCTTCGACACCTGATCCAATAATGGATTTTATAATAACTTGACAACAATGAACGGCACCTGCTTTTTCAGCCTCCATTGCTTCTTTAAACCAATGCTCCCTATTTATTTCAACTCCATTTGCACTTAAAGAAGAAATGGCCCTGTCAATGATTTTTTCAACCATATGCTTATTTCCATTAGCTTCTTCCAATTTAGCTGCAGTTGTCCAAATTTGTCGATCAGTTGGAATATTTTCTCGAGCTTTATTTAATACTTTTCTAGCATTATCGTAAGTTTCTAACCTAGCCAAGGCTAACCACAAATCTACACTGGTAGGGCAGCACTCAACAGCACGACTAAGAAGAATACGAGCATCTTCTGGTTCCTCTAATTCTACCGCTGCTCTCCACAAACGTACAGAATTCGGAATATGCTCTAAAGCTTTACGATATACTCTTCTTTTTGCTTTTGCTTCTATTTCTAAATCTGCTGCTTTTATCCATATTCTGACGGAAGTCGAAATGTGCCTCACTGCTTGAGCAATAACAGCCTTTGCAGTATCTGGAGGTTGTAGCCTTGCAGCTTCTAACCATAAATCTTCGGACGACGGATTTACCTCGCAACCTTTCATAATCAAATTTCTAGCAGCTTGAACTTTTCCTACAACTTCTTCTAAACGAGCAGATGCTATCCAAGCTGGTGGGTGATTTGGATTCGTTTCTCTAACAGACTTCAAAAGCAATCGAGCTTTTTTAATGTCGCTAAAAATAACATAATTATTAAATTAAAGAATTATTTAATAAATTATATGAATTTGTATTAATATTACTCATTTTTATAAAGTAATTTTATTTAATCAAGAAATTGAAAATAAATTTCATACTTTGTTAAATTGGATTTTCTTACGCATTATAATCATATAAATTTTAAATATTTATATTTAACTATACTTATAATACTTATAATTAACTATATATTATATCGAAAAAACTCAATATTCATATGTATTGTATTGTTAGAAATTCAAATTTTTGCCAATTATATTCTAAAATTATTGATAATTATAAATATCTTCTATATTTGAATATAAGTTATCCAAATAAGATAAATAATTTTATATAATCAATAATAAACAATATGATTGGATTAATTTTACTTAATGAAAAATTCAAATTACTTACTTAATATCACCACCATAAGAAGGAATCATACTTTGTAAATCTGTCAGATACCCTTTTGGATCTACTACAGTTTGTCCTTCAACAGAATCGGAAACCTGCCTTAGTTTAACATTCATCAAATTATTTCTAGCTTGACCAATTTTTCTCAAATCCAAATCGCCTGTTGGAGTCAACATTCCAGGAGTAGCTACTCCTGGTAACATAGATGCTAGACCACTTGTAGGATCGATACTTGTTGCGGTTTCACCACCTAAATTTCTTGCCAATACTGAATCTGGCAGAGGAGTAAATTTTTCTGCTCTGGGATTTCTTTGTTTCCTATTTCTAGCATCTCCTACTTCGGGAACATTTCTCCACTCGTTTTCAGATACATTTGCCAATTCCCTTTTTAGGTCTGAAAATTGCTGTTGAATCTTTGGTCTTTCTTGTCGATATCTTTCCAATTCCTCGCGCAAACGTTTCTCCCTATAATCTTTACGTTTTTCATCCATCCGTTTATCTATTGCTTCATATATTGCATCTGCTTCTTCATCATCTTTATCGTACGGGTCCTAAATTGTATACAATAGTCATCCAAAATTTAATAAATTTTTTAATAAAATATACTATTTTGTTATTAATACACAAATAAATATTTAAGGTATGAATTAAATATAATTATAACTACAGCAATATTAATGATTAATATAATACTTATGCTGCTAATAATTATATAAGAACGTACAATTCTACTAGTTTTTATGAAAGTAATTCTTTTTCTTATTTTTTTTTTTCTTATTTTATATATTTTATTTATCTTATTTTATATATATTTTTACTTTTTTCTTATTCTTAAATTTGGAACTATTAAAATAACTATTAGATTATTTTAGAAACAATATTTTGATTATAAGTATTTTAAATAATAACTGAATGCAAATAGTTTAAAAACAAGAAATGAAAAATAAAAACATATTGAAGATTAATCTTCTCTGTATGATTAACAATTATTTAATTTATGCCATGTTATTAATAATTATAATTAATACATTTTAAAATATTTTCTTAACGTTTACCTGCTTTATTTACTTTATCGGTTTTATTGTTTTCTTTGTTATTTATATCCTAAAAATACATTTTATACTTAATAGAATATACCTTGCTAAATAAAGACCCTCCATATCCAGAAAATTCATCATAATTAGAGTCATTAAGATCTTCCTCATCTTCTTCTTCCTCCTCCTTTTTCTTTGTTCGCTTTGTTGGCGGAGCATGTCTATCATCGCTTTAATAACATAAAAATAACAGTAATGAGACACTTGGCACTTGATAATTTTCAAATAACATAAAAGAATTATTTTATACTTACGAGACGTCGTTGGCATCTCGTGCTGGCCCAATATCAGAACGAGTTGTAAAACCAGTTGCTCTGTGAAAATTTTACAAATATAAATTTTGAGGTTAAGAAACAAAAGTAAAGTAAGATTATTTGTACAAATAACATTTTTAATGCTTATTATTAAAAATATATATTTTACCCTCTGCCGACTCCAGCAACATATCCTAATGGAGCAGGAACGCCTAAAAAATGTTTCTTATTTCGCGTCGACAATGAAGTGGATGGGACCGCCATGTTTACAAATCAATGTGCTTTTGCCGACAAAGTATAGTAAATACAGGAATGCGCCGACTATTTATATGAATATTCATAATTACAGTAGATCCAGTGGGTCGAAAGTGCATGTAGAAAAATAAATGTTTTCTAGAATCAGTCAAATGCATATTTGTAAAGTTAATATAAGAGTTTCTCTATCAGAAATGAACATAAACATAAGTTGGCGTTCTATCGTAAATATTAAATTTCTTTTAAAGGTTCTTCTATTTGAAAATATAGTATGTAAATTTACTGATTCTCGGCAAATAGATTGTGTAGATTTTGAATTTTGAACATAAAAAATATTATACTTGTTTTCAAGTACTTGAAATGGGAAATAAGCAATGTTGTAAAATTTTTACTGTGCAAAACGGAAAATTTTAAAAAATCATAAAATTCATTTGAATCATATTGCAAGTCTATACTTTTAGATAGTTTAAACAATCAAATGATGAATTTAACTTGCCTAATTATAATATATTCTCAGTTGTAATTGATTCATTTTTGTTCCAAAACAACATTAAACTAAACAAACATCTTTTAGTTATCAATTTTAAATATTCATATTTCTTAATTTTATTATCATTTTAACATAAAATCTTTTACATTTTATTTACAAATTGGAGAGAAAATTAAATAAAGATCATCTAAAATATTATTCAAGAACTGTGAATTAAATTAACACGCTATGAATATTGAAGTAAAAACGTCTTTCAATATATTGAAATTCAATGAATTAATTAGAAAAAGTATGTTTTCGACGTGTTGAAAAAGAAATTTGTCTTACTATTTAATTTTCAAAAAGTTTTTAAAATTTTTTATTTATACAATATTCCATGCAGTGCTCAATTTTAATCAGTCGCATTGCTACTGCATCTCATCGATAAGCCAAAATTTCAATTCCAGGCACGATTGATAACGTCGATACAAAGCTAATATGGATTAAAATATTTTGCAAACAATTTCCTTCGCGTCTCACATTCTAACAAAATGATTATCGAAAAAAATTTTTCTAAAAAAATTGCCTATACATTGGATATACTCATTCCGTTTCGCTAACGAGGATTGTCAAACGACATGAGAGTTTCATAACAAATATAATATATTCACTGAAAACTTATAATTTCTCAGGACACTTGAATCGGACAATTGCGCCATGTCGGCGATAACATAATCATTGTGAATGATTTTCGTTACTCAGTCATATATTCTATTAATTTGACAAAATTCTGAAGCCATTCTCGCAATCATTCTTAATTTTACACTAATTTAGATTAAACTAAAAAATTAATCAACTTTTTCCTCTAATTATATTTAAAAGAATATGAAAAGTTATTGCAATATATAGTCTAAAATCGATTTTTTTCAAATTATTCGACGAATACAGCATTATATCGCATGACCAACAACCTGGAAAGTAACAATGACCGTTATTTTAGGATAGCAGAACGAGACATTTTTTGATAATTTTTGATAATTGATAATGATAATAATCAATATTGTTACTACGATCGCATGAAATCTATTGCCGATGTTCTTTTTAACTCCATGAACCATATAGATACTTGATCGACAAGCAACCTATTGTTTAAATAATTATTATTACTCTTAATACTAATAAATTTTGTTTAATTATTAATGGCACTTCTCGTTTTATTTTTTAATTTATAATTTCAGCTCTACTATTTTCTTCATTATTTTTCAATGTAATCGCACACCAATAAAGATTTCTATGCATCATATACAATGATAATTTAAAACAGATTTTCAACAAAGTTAAATTTACTTATATCCCGCGTTTTTGTGACTGCCAATAGCGTGAAGTTTTTATTGCGCATGACAAGTTGACGGGAGGATACAGCATAACTATAATAAATAAATGGAATCCAAATCCAAAAGCTGAGTTAAACTTCAAACTGCTGTTCTATTATTTAAAATGGTGTTTTCTTGATATTATTTAATAAAATTGGTCGACGATAAAACTGAAATTCCATGGAGTAGTGAGATATTATTTAATTAAAAATTGAATTGTAAGCTTATTACAGTTATAAATATGAGATAATCGAGTGAAATATAGACAACTGTAAGATTACATGAGTGACTCATGTTTTTATTAGTGTAATATAATTTGTAATTGTTAGGGCATTTACTTTTGGATGCTATTTCATAAGGTTTTATAATTCTTTGGGAAATTGAAAATTTCAAATTAAAATTTGTAATTTTACGCGATTGAAACTCTTAAACAATTGCTTATTCTTCATAAAACTATAAGATGCATTAACATGATAAGATATTTAATATCACTTGTTCATTAAAACGAAATCTCTAGTTCTTTCCTTTCAGATATGATGCTGAATAGTTGGTCAAAACATATTTTACATTGTTGTCTACTAGTTACTGTTATTTTAATATTTGAATTTATATTTGGTGGATTACAATGGGGACCAAAAGATCAAGACTATTTAGATCCATGGATTCATTATGGTTTTGTGGGTGCATTTATTTTATACCTCTTAAGGACTCTGACATTTCTATCATTTCCACAAGTTTTATTTAATTTTATTGGGTTAACTATGTACAATGCATTTCCTGACAAAGTTAATCTTAAAGGATCGCCATTACTCGCCCCTTTTATTTGTATACGGGTTGTTACTCGCGGTGACTATCCTCAACTTGTGAAAACTAATGTTAATAAGAATTTAAATAAATGTATCGATGCTGGATTAGAAAACTTTCAAATTGAAGTGGTAAGTGACAAACCAATTGGATTAGCATCTCACAGAAGAATACGAGAAGTTGTTGTGCCACCAAATTATAAAACGAGTAGTGGAGCGCTGTTTAAAGCGAGAGCATTACAGTACTGTTTGGAAAATTCAGTGAATGAATTAGCTGACCATGATTGGATCGTTCATCTGGACGAAGAAACGTTACTCACTGAAAATTCAATACGCGGAATTCTTAATTTTGTTTTTGATGGTAAGCATCAATTTGGCCAAGGTCTAATTACCTATGCGAATGAAGATGTTGTGAATTGGATTACTACATTGGCCGATAGCTTCAGAGTAGCAGATGATATGGGAAAACTCAGATTGCAGTTTACCATGTTTCATAAACCCCTGTTTAGTATGAAAGGCTCTTATGTAGTTACGCAGGTAAATACTCTTGAATTGCAGCATTCACTTAAAGCGTTAATTAAAAGTATTTCTAAATTTATATTAATATTTAATGTAAAGAAATAATTGAAGTCGAAGTTACAAAAATTAATGTCATTAAAATGAATTACAATGATTGAATTTTTAATATGTAAAAGAAGAGTCAATTTAAATAAAGTAAAGTTGTTATTATTAAACAAGAATTTAATATTCATAACATTTTTCTATATTTTTTTGAAAAGTTTTTGTTAATTTTGTTAAAATTAACATTGAGAAATTCTAATGTTTAAGATGGGTGCTGAGAGGCAAGTGTCTTTTAATAACGGACTGGACGGCTCAGTCGCAGAAGACTGTTTTTTTGCAATGAAAGCATTTTCACAAGGCTACACATTTAACTTCATTGATGGAGAAATGTGGGAGAAGTCTCCATTTACTTTACGGGATTTTGTACAGCAACGAAAACGTTGGCTACAAGGAATATTGCTCGTCGTACATTCCAAGGAAATTCCATTAAAGAAAAAATTATTATTAGCAATATCGTGTTATTCGTGGGTAACATTACCGCTGTCTACATCGAATATAATTCTAGCTGGTCTTTGCCCTATTACATGCCCTCCAGTCATGGACTTTCTCTGTGCTTTTATTGGTGCTGTAAATGTTTACATGTACGTGTTTGGAGTTGTGAAATCTTTTTCATTATATCGATTTGGAGTAACGCGATTTATTCTTTGCATTTGTGGTGCATTATCAACTATACCTTTTAATTTGATAATCGAAAATGTTGCCGTAATATGGGGTTTGTTTGGTAAAAAGCATAAATTTTATGTGGTAAATAAGGAATTTAAACCAGCAATCAGTTTGATGTTTAATTCAACTGGAGTCACTATTTAGTTATTACATACTTTTTATTTACACTCTTCATATTCTTGCATACAAAAGAGTACCTGTAGTGGTAAGATAAATATTCTTAATATTTATACATTTGCATAAATGCATCAAATCATTAATAAACGATATTAGTTCTATAATTTTAAGTGATATTAATTTATAAGTTCATTTTTATAATTGTTTTTAAAAATATTATAAATATTAATACTGATTCGAATTTAAATTTATCGAATTTTTAAAGTTTTTTAACTAACAATAATTTTATATTTTAATAATTAAAAAGTATATAAAGTCATGAAATAATCAACTTTTTTACCAGAGGAGTTTTAATCTAATATTTAAAAAATTGATATTTTCAATAAAAAATTTTTTTATATATTAATAATACTTTATAGATCAAACGATTTAAATAAATAATTTCACTTAAAATTAAATAATCTCTTTAACCTTAAATATTAGTTTTTGACCAAATATCAAGATACGTTGTTTTTAACAAAACGTGATATAAACAAATATTTTTTAAGATGAATTAGTATGTACATGATAATGCATTAGCCATTATTCGTTTAATTTTTGTTAAATGTGGAATTTTAAAAAAATCAATAAATTTCATGTAAGTAGTTAAAAATAGAATTTTTGAGAAACTTCCGTTTATATGCAATTTTATAAATAGAAAATTAGAAAATTTGTATATATTTCTAATAGTGATATTAAAAAAATTGATAGATTTATAAATTTTCTTAATTGATAAAACTATTCAGTAGGCTAATGATTTTTATTTTAACAGTATGAAATTTTGAAATACCAAAGATGTTTAAGTATTTAAAAAGAACAATATATATTTTTAAATAAATTAATTGTAATCTACAGTCCGTATATTATTACTATTTTTTAAAAACTTTTCATTAATTTTTGTTATAATTTATTATTGTATTTAGCAGATACGTTTTATTTGTACAATGTAAAAAGTGCATAATTTTTAGTATTTCTAAACAGTATGTTCAATGCAATTCCGTGACATGTAGTATTTTTGTATTCATACCTAATTATTTGTACCAGCCATCTGATTAATAATGGCGGACATAATTTTGAATCATGTACAATTAGGCATTTAAATATTTTAAGAACCCTTTGAAAATCCTTTGTAAATCGATGAATTAAAATTAAAAATAATTTTAAAGTACATTACTAAATTTACTTGTATAGTATTTAGTATTGCTAATGAACCTAAGAGTAGTACTTATTTTATAAAGAATTGTAAAATACTTAATGAAACAATCGATACCATTAAATTATTATAAAATGTGAAAACATTAGACTTTTAGATAGTACTTTCATATTTTCAATGAGATTTTATTATTGATAACATTAAAAATTTCATAATCAACTTTATAATATTGGAATAAGCTTATTTCAATAAGTATACCTCAGTACTTTTGATTAAATATGTTTTTTTTAAAAAGACGTCCGTATGTAATACCATAATATATACAAATAAAAAAACTATTTTCTTGTCATTTTTTATTATTCTTTATTGTATAACATATGTAATTAAAAATAAATATAATTCATAAACATATATTACCTGTTTTAGTAATTACAAATATTACCTTTACATGATATATCTACGGAGAAATAGAACTGAATAAAGATATATTCGGAGTTATATAAATATTTTGTTAATAAATCATTTGTCATATAAATGATCACGTGTGCGTATTTACGTATAATACGGAACGAATCTAGTAAAATATCTGACATATTCAATTTAGTTTCTAATTGAAGGTAGTGGCTTTACATGGAATCTCTATATTCATATATATATATATATATATATATATATATATAAACAATCTGATTTTAAATTATATAATCCTAACATTATTAATAGTATTTATACAAATAAATAATTATTAAACATCTTGATAGACTTTTATAATATTACTGATACATGTTTATACACTGAAATTAAGCTTTCCATTATTCTTAAATTTGATCTATTATTTATTTTTAAAGAAACATTATTGCAACTTAATATTAATTGTATTATTATTTTTTTTTTTTTGCTTAATGTAAACCAAACGTAAAGAATCTTTTGATAAAATAATTCATTAAAACATGTAAAATTTATAATGGAAAACGATCTAATGAAAATAACGTGCAGCGTGGCATGCATGAAATGTTAATGGTTTTCTAAGATAAAGTATAAATTATGAATTTGTTTATATTAATATTACTAATGTAATTACTGTAGAGTAGTGATATCACGTTCAATAATTCAAAATTTAAAAAAAATAAATTTTTGTTGAAAAATCAATTGACGTTACACCACAGCTTCAATCATTTTAATGGAATGTGTAAGATAATAATTAAAGATAATGGACGAATCATCAATTTATTAATAAATTTGGGCTTCATATATCAAATATTCGTTCGTTTGTTGAAAATCCCCGATTGAATTTATAAACATTTGCTAAAATTAAATTAAGATTAGTAAAATAAGACCTTAACTTTTCAAAGAACTGATGTATTTGAACATGTTTGTTTAACCACGATAAATTATGGAATTTAAAAATAATTTTAAATATCGAAGAATTCAAAACCCTCGTAATGACATTATATATGAAGGAATTCATAAATTATTTGCACTTTCTGCAATAAAATACTTTTTTTTTTATATCTATAATAAATTTATTATATATATATATATATATATATATATATATATATATATATATATATAATAGCATAGCTGAGGATGAATATTATTTTGTGTAATTTTTACAATTAGAATATAATTTAATATGAACATAAAATACATTAATAGCATGTGAAATTTATAACATTTAACTCGAAAAAATAAATTAATATATAAAAAATTAATAAAAATCATATTTTATTGTTTCGTTTAATAAAAAAGTTGAATTGCATTAAGAAAGTAAAAATAGTTTTTAATATATTCGCAGGAAACAAGTACGAATATTAATTTTAAGCGATTCCAGAAAGGTAACGCGCTTGTACAAAGCTTTAGCTTAGCTAGAATTTGTATACTTTTCTTGCGCAGAAATGACTATTCACAGATAATGAATGCATGCACAATCATAATTACAATTTTATAAATAAAATATTCTGTATCAACTTCTTTTCCCGTGCAAGAATCAAAATATAAAGTAAAAAATGTTTTATAAATATTATATTGATTTAACGTAAATATAGAGATTCGGTGGGCTAATTTGATTAGCGGATAATGACGATGTTGAATTCCACTAGATAATCAAATATTAAAGCTTGAAAACAATATTATTTTTTCCTGATAATATTGCAAATAAATAAAACATAGAATACGCACTGTGTAATTAAGAATAGTGAAAATGTATAATTACATCGAAATTATAGATTTAACATATATTCTATATGCATATAAAATCGTAGAAACTTTGTTGAATTACATATGTATAATACGGTAATGTGTAATAAAACAATCGCTATATCTAAATAATATTTAATTATCTTAGTACGAGTTCAAAGACCCAATATTTTTGCAAATCGGCACATCTGAAATCCTCTTATCAAAGAATAAGATTAAATTTAAAACTAAGATCCATAATTTTTTAATCGAACTACATTAATGTAAGTGCATTATTACAACAAAAAGTATAATCTAATTTGATTTAGTTTGGTAAAAAAAAATTGCAATGTAAATAATCAACCCATATTATAATAAATCTTGCGGCTAATGCATGAGAATTAGAAGATCAAGATGGATGGATTTCAATAATTTTATTTCGATAAAATACGTATAGTTCATTGAAAAACATTTTTTATAAAAAAAAAATCATGAGCCTTAAAGAAGCTAAGGAAGAAATGTATGATGTCAATGTGCTATCGTATGCAACTAAGTATTATTACTGTTGTTGTTATTGTTATTATTGTCGGTTTTTGAAAGCAGGATGCTTAACAAGTGTAGTAAGAAAAATATTTAAAATACTGCTAAAGCATACCGTAAAGTTCGTTAATAAGATGGGTAAGACAATGAAAGCATACACTTTGGTCGATGTTATCGTATTAAAGCAGGGCTTTCTAAAGCCCATGGATAATATTTTCAACTATTGATTTGAAAGTAAGTGCTAGTTATGGATATTGTCAAGTTCTTTCCCACTATTAGACCTCCACTCCCCTACTCCGTTAAAAATTTTCTGTGTAAAATGCATGCGATTGTTAACAATGAATTGCTAAGGGTCTTAAATATACAAGACCTACCTATAAACATTTTATTGTCTCTTTAGTTGAATAAATGATCTTCATTCATTCGTGAATCAAGAGAATTATTTATATTAACAATTCTAAAACATATATATATATATATATATATATATATATATATATATATATATATGTATGGTACTAAAACAAATTTTAAATTAAACAAGAAATAAAAAAGTATTATATTTTTCAGAATAAGCTACGTACTTCAATTATCACAATTTATTACTTAACATTGTTATTTTGTTAATAAGTTAGTATGGTAATGTAATAAATACATTTTTACGTATACATTTGTAAAATTTGTTTTAAATTTGTTTTCTGTCGCTAAGCATTTGATAATATGGGCGAATGTATTAACTAACGGCGGCATGACTCTATTAAACATTAAATTGACATGTCGGCGCAAAAGAAAGTTCACTTTACATACATTAGCTCATAATTTATTTATTATTTTATTTTTTCATTAAAACTTACACTTACACATCACCTGTCACCGCATTCACTAATGCGTTAATATTTGAAACTCGCCAAATTGGTTCGGAAAAAATCCGCTGAGTTCATAGCTATTAGAATGTGGCGATATTCATAAAACCGAATAAGTAATTTCCCTTTTAAACACCAATAAAAGATTAAAATATTTAAATGCCATATACATGCGATTACCAATGGTACGACATCAGTATTGCGCATGTGGTAAAAAGGGTAGGATGGATAGATATGACAATGTAACAATGTTAGAAGTATTAAGGATGTAGTGTGAGATGGATTGACGGTTATAGCCATTAAGGAAAATTTGAATGTAATTATTATTAAGTTGTATTAAATATTAGTTAACGCGAC